GGGCATATGTGCCTTAACTCTCCCCTTGCTGGTAGCAGATCAGCCTCTGGTATACAGTGTGGAAGACATAGGTAAGTGGTCAGGCAGGAGACTTGCAGAATAATCAATGGCAGAAAGGCAAGGGGTTAAATCAAGGGAGAGAGGGAGAGAGGAAAATGAGAGTACCTGTCAACATGTGACAGAGAAGATGAGGAAGTGCACAACACCGTAGTTAGAGTTCAGAGCCCCGGATTCAGAGCCGGTCAAGTTGCTGAATGACTTCAGACACAGTGTTCTCTGGGCCTTGCTTTCCATTTGCGACATGGCTATTGGATTAAGTGATATCTTAAAATCATTACCAGTTGCTGATACCAAGATAGGAAGATTAACTCTTTGATCATGTTTTATTCATAAAGCCCTGAATGCCCTTCCTGCCTGGTGCTCAAGTACCTGCCTGGCACAGAGTATATATAACAGGTAAGATTGCTGTGTAAATTATTAAAGAGAAATGAATGAGGAATTTGCAGAAAAAGCAGAGGAAGGAGCAAGCTGTTGGAATGGGAAGGGCTCCTCCTGGGTTACAACTGGTTGAAGAGAAGGCTATTCAGATGTCACTGAGAGAAGAATCTGGGCTGACTAGCAAGAGACTGGAGTCAAAGGGTTGAATAGAAATTCCCAGGGCTGAGGGGCACCAGAGTGGCTCAGTTGGCTAGGCATCCAATTCTTGATTTTGGCTCAGGTCATAATCTCAGGGTCATGAGATGGAGCCCTGCATCAGGCTCTGCACTGGGCTTGGAGCCTGCTTAAGATTCGCTCTCCTTTCTGCCCCCCACTCCAGCTTGTGCTCTCTCACTCTCCCAAGAAAGAAAGGAAAGAAAGAAAGAAAGAAAGAAAGAAAGAAAGAAAGAAAGAGACTATCTCCCAGGACTGAGAGTACTGGGAGCCAACGATGGCTTCCCTTGTTTGCCACTGCCCATGCCCCACTCTGATAAGGCAAATGGAGACCTTCATAAAGAGTGAGAAGGAGGAAGCTGTTGGTGTTTGCATGTTGACTCCTGTGTGCCTGGATGAATCCATGGAAGTTTCTACATCTCTGGCATTTTGGGGTGTAGGGGTCTGGGTCTTTGCGTGTATGTGGTATGTATGCCTATGGATCGATCTGTGTATCTGTCTACACTTCTGTCTAAATGACTGTTAGAAGGTGTCCATGTGTGCCCATGTGTATCTGTTCCTGTCCTAGTGGATGTGTCTGGTACATCCATGTGACTGGATTAATCAGGATATGTCTGCATCTCTGCGCAGGTTCATATCTCTGTGTACTTCTGAGTCTTGTGCATCTGAGTGTTTATTGCAAAGGTGATCTTTCCTGCAAGCTGCCTGGGAGATGAGATTTCTGGTTCTACATCCTATGTATCTCCACCTCATTTTGTGACCTTAAATAAGTCCAACACCTGCCATGCCTGGGCCTTAGGAAGGGGCTCTGAGTCAACAACAGCAGCTCTGCATGCAGAGGAACCAGTTCTGTGCCAGGTTTTCTGGGGGAGCCAATATAAATTTAGCTGATTTATCTCCCTTGACCATAAGTGTTTAGGGGCTGGGTAGAGGAGGAATTTGACACAAGAGATAGAGGAAAGAGGTATTTGCATGGGCTGGAGAAGTTAAGAAAGGAGGTGGGGCTTCTTAGAGGAGGTGGAGCCAGAGTTGGGTATTGGGAAACAGTAGGAAGAGCATTTTTGGTAAGCAGCAGTTCATGGAAAAGGCATGTGAGAAAGGTGTAAATGAGAGATGGTGATGATGCTGACCCGGCTAGAGCGGGGAGACAGAGAAGCATGTGGAAGCAGTGGAAGCTGAGACCACCAGAGGACCAAGTTGGAAAGCTTTGGCTGCCAGGCTGAGCCATTTGCACTGTACCTGATGGGCAGTGGGAGAGAAGCAGGGCAATAGACTGAGTAGAAAGAGCATGACCCGAGAATTTCCAGGGCCCTTATAGCTCTGGCTTTCTCTCTCTTCAAGGCTGCTGTCCTAGACCACAGAAAGCACACTGAATGTCTCTGGGTGAAGATGGATGATAATACATCTGTCCTTAAGACTGGGGACTTCTGGTCAGGAAGGAACTAAGCCCACAGACTCTGCAGACAGTACTGAAGCCTGGCATGGTCCCCTGCAGGTGAGAGAATTCAACATTCCTCTGCTGTCTTCTTGCCTTGGGTCCTATCTTCCTCCCTATCCCACTCCACTGGGCCTTACAGTGGAAGGGAGGAAGAAGCCACATGTCAGCTCTCCCCACCCACAAAACACCTTTCTGCTTCACATTCTGTCCTCTGAATCCCCTTCCCACTCCCAGGTCTCTATCTGGTGATATCCTGCTTATTCTTCCAATTCCAGTTCAAATCTCACCTCTTCTTTGGAATCTTCCCTGAATCAGCCTAGCAGAGGAAATTACTCCTGCTTTGTCCATACAGTTAGTGTAGTGTTTATTATTGTGCATGGATAAGGTCAAGTACAATGGCTGACCTACCTGTATAATCTTAGAGACCAATACAAAGCCTGACCCAAAGTAGATACTCAACAAATAGATGTGAAGTGTACAGTTGAACTGTTATACTGTCCCCGGGTAACTCCACACAGCCCAACCCCAGCAAGACCACTGTATCCAATTCCAGTTAAGAAACACAGTGACAAAGCAGAGGTGATCAGAATGGAAAAGGACCTGGAAATTAGGTCCTATAAGAAAGAATCTAAGGCACCAGGGGCTTTTGGGCTGGAGGAAAGAATACTTAGTAAGCTTAGAATGGATTTTTTAAAATATTGTGTGAAGAGCTTCAGAGAAAGGAGATTAGTTGTTTAACTCCCAGTGGCCAAAACTGTGATAACTTGTAGAAGTTACAAGGAAGCAAGTTTCAGCTGAGATTAAGAAAGGCATCTTTAAATAACTACAGACTTCCATCAGTAGACTGGATTGCTTCTAGTAACCTCAGGGAACAGGGAGAAAGCATCAGAAGTTGATGGAAAGGGAACTAACATCTACTAAGCATTACCTGCTACAGACTTATATGTACATTGAGTACTTATGTACTTGGCATCATTTCATCTCATCTTGGCATCACCATGCAGGGAGGAATCACCAATATTTCCATTTTATAGATGAGGAGAGTAGAGATGAAATGAAGATGAGTTGATGTTTACAAAGCCAATCAAGATTAAAACCCAGGTGGCTCTTTCTGCAAACCCGGTCACCTTTCCTCTACATCACACAGCCACCCATCTGGAGGTGGGGAGGGAAGGTCAGGGGCTCTGCAGAGAAGAATCCTGTACCTCAGAAGGAGATATATGGCAGAGGTGCCAAGGCCCTGTCTCTTCAACACTTTGGCTCTATGCTGGGGAAAAGGATGGAGTTGGCATAAGTGGATGACTCCCTGGGACAGCCAGTGGGTGACAGTGATAGGAAAGCAGAAAAATGAAAAAAAAAAAAAAAGGCTATATCTGAGGCTTCTCCTGGGAGGCAACAAGAGCAGACCCTGCAGTTTGCCCATTACCTCCTCTCTTTCACCTTCCCTTCCCTCTTTTATCTCTCATTGCTCTTTAAAAAGTTTCGTTCAACAAATACTTATTGGGTGAATTTTTATGCATAGGTCACTGGCAAGATGGAACAAACACAGGGCCTCCCTGCTAAGAACTCGCTAAGTCTAGTCTCTGGGAGCTCGCCAAAGCCGGGCACTCTTTCCTGCGGGGGATAGACGAGGCTAGTAATAGAACATTTATAGAAACTTTGGAACAGTGGGAGAAAATGTGTCTTAAGAAAGAGATTGAGTGGGGAACAAAATCAGTGCCTTGTTTCTGAGGTTATTGAAGTCACTTGGTTAACTGAGAAACTTTGCGGTTTTCTATCCGTTGAGGTCAGAGCAAAGACAAACCTTGCCCCAGTATCATATGTGAATTTTACCTTCTTCATTCCATGCCTCCTCTACCAACAACAACTCCATACAAACTCTTCCCCTTGTCTGGATGCCCCCCCACACACACACACACATACACACCCATAACATGTCTGTAGGATAAACCCCTATTCATTCTCTAAGACCCAGTTCAAATCCCATCTCTTCTTTAAATTCTTCCCAGACTCCTCCAGCAGAATAATTTACTCCCATGTGGTTCATAAAATTAATAAACTATGAAACACCGCCAGCTGCCCTAGGTCAAACTGTAGGCAAAAGCTAAGACTTACTCTGTTCCCCATAGCACAAGGGTCAGCGAACTATGTCTTACAGACCAAATGTGCCCCCCTTTTCTTCTTTTGTAAATGAAATTTTATTGGAACATAGCCATAGCCATTCATTTATATATTATCAAAGGCCTTTTTCATGCCGCAATGGCAGAGCTGAATACTTGCAACAGAGACCGTGGTCCACAAGCCTGAAAAGTTTATTCTAAGATCCTTGACGGAAAAGCTTAATGATTCCTGAGTTAACACACAATGTGTGGTGAATAAATGAATGGCGAATGCTATAGGGTGTTTTATGAAGAAACTTCAGCTGGTATTCAGATGGTCTGGGTCCCAGTTCTGCCCCAGCTACTTGTTTGACTAAGCAAATGATGGTGCATGGTAAGTACACAGATGGCAGATTAGGTAGACAGGTAACAGTTTTGTGTGCTGGGTGCTGTGCTAAGTATTTTAAAGTTCTTATCTGCTTTAGCTTCACAACCATCCCCAGGGGTAGGTAGCTGTTAGGATCTCCCCCAGTGAAAGAAGAAGAAACTGAGGCTCAGAGAGGTCGCACCCGGCCCAGTGGTAGAGACAGGTCTCAAAATCAGATTTGATCCACTCCAAGCTTGAGACTACCCACTACCGTCTGAAATTCCCTTTCTTCATGAAACGGGTGGGCAGCGTGGTTGCCAAGCCTTTTCAGCGGCAATGTAAAAACAGGACGTAGAACCAACCCCACCATGCGGAAGTCTGCCTAGAGCTGCCAGGACCCCGGCCTGCTCCTCGTCTGTCGCGCCCGCGCCTGTCCAGCTGCTCCATGGCCCCGGGCAATGCCACGGCAGCCGCAGAGTTCCTCCTCCTGGGCCTGCTGGATGGAGCGGACGTCCACCCGCTGCTCTTCCTGCTTTTCCTCGGGGTCTACTTGCTCAACGCGCTGGGCAACCTGACCATGGTGGCGGTGGTGAGGTGGGATGAGGCCCTCCGCTGCCCCATGTACTACTTCTTGGGCCACCTGAGCCTCGTGGACGTGTGCTTCACTAGCGTCACGCTCCCCAGGCTGCTGGCCGGCCTGCTCCACCCGCGCCAGGCCGTGTCCTTCCAGGGATGCTTTGCCCAGATGTACTTCTTCGTGGCCCTGGGCATCACGGAGAGCTACCTGCTGGCAGCCATGTCCTACGACCGCGCGGTGGCCGTCTGCCGGCCCCTGCACTACCGGGCGGCCCTGACGCCGGGGCGCTGCGCCGCGCTGGTGGCCGCGTCCTGGGCGGTGGCCCACCTGCACTCGCTGCTGCACACGCTGCTCATCTCCGCGCTCTCCTACCCGCGCCCCGCCGCCGTGCGCCACTTCTTCTGCGACATGACGGTGATGCTGAGCTTGGCGACCTCGGACACGGCGGCCGCGGAGACTGCCATCTTCTCCGAGGGCCTGGCCGTGGTGCTCACCCCGCTGCTCCTCGTGTCGCTGTCCTACGCGCGCATCCTCGGCGCGGTGCTGGGCCTGCGGTCGGCCGGGGGCCGGCGCCGCGCCTTCTCCACCTGCGGGGCCCACCTGGTGGTGGTGTCGCTCTTCTTCGGCTCTGTCCTTTCCGTCTATTTCCGGCCCTCGTCTGCCTACTCAGCGCGCTACGACCGCCTGGCCAGCGTGGTCTATGCGGTGCTCACACCCACCTTGAACCCTTTCATCTACAGCCTTCGCAACAAGGAGGTCAAGGGCGCCCTGAAAAGGGGACTCGGGTGGAGGGCTGCGACCCAAGAGTTGTGAGGGCAGGTCCTGATTCACTGGCGTTTCCATGATAAGAACGATTACAAAAGAACCTCTGCCCCTTCTGGCTTTGCACAGCACTAGCATTTTGGATCCTACAGCGGCTTATTTCTGGATAAATTAAGAAATTGGGCCTGAAGCAAAGGTGACTGTGCTTATTTTACAGGGATGGGTACATAGCAATAAGCTAACTTCACTTCTGCATTGTCTGAACGTTTGAAATACAGGTTACTCTTAAATTTTGGAACAAGCAGGGGACTAGGGAATAAGCCTGGTAGCCTCTGGAGAGGAAGAGGAAGGAGTGTGGCCAGCAGCAACATAGTGGATGGAGAAGAAACCAGAGAAGCAGTGTAGATGTCACAAGGATTTCAAAGAGGTTTTGTCTGTCTGTCTGTTTGTTTTTTAGGGGGAGAGGGTGCTATAGTATAGACCACACCCTTTTCAGACTGCTTTTCTGGAAACTTCAGAAAAGATCTAGTTTTTATAAAAATTTTTAAAATTCTGTTCCCTAGATAATATATCCATCATTTTCATGGCAGGAACTCAAAAATAGAAATAAAGATGAAATTCTCCTTGACTGTCACTCAATCCAACCTCCACTCCCATCCCAGTTACCAGCTCGATACCTCTTCTACCTTTCTCTCTCTGATTTTGACACATAAATAGTATCACTCTCTACCTATTATTCTGCACTTTTCCTTTTCATGAAATAATAGGCTAGAAGATCTTTTCTTATCCCTACAAATAGAAATTCTTCATTTTTATCTTCATGGTATAGAACCCTATTCTGTGATATTCCACAGTTTAATATTCTCTTATTGATAGATAGGCTTTCCCAGTGTCTCATTATTACAATAGTGAACAATATCCTTTTAATAAAAATAATAAAAGATAACATTTAGTAAGGACTTACTATGTGCTAGGTACTGTCTTAGGTGCTCTACACATATGTTTCCTTTAAGCCTTACAAGATTCCAGGAGGAATATATTATTATTATTCTCATTGCACAAAAGAGGAAACAGGCTCAGAGAAACCAATTCTGTTAGAATCAGCTATGTCTTCTATCTAGTTCTGGGCTCTGACTTGAGCTGCCGCTACGTGGTCTCCTCACTCATTGTCCTGATAGCCTTAGGAGACACACATTAGCTCTCAGCTTCATCTGGACTCCACCAACGTGTGTAAGAACTTTTCAGATCTTCATGGCCCAACACAGTTGAGAAGATTCACATTTGTGTGCATGTTGAGGTAGAGGCAGAATGTTCGAGACTCTTCCCTAGACCAGTGCTGTCATGATATGACTGCCCCCACATAGTGGTGGGCCTTTCTGCAAAGTGCCTTCTCCCAGAGTACTACCAAACTAGTTGGGAAAGTCACTATGCCCTCCAATGTCCAAAACTATTTGAAGGTTCTATAATCCCCTCTACTTGGTTATTGAAGGATAAAGAGCAGGGCCTCACACTAATATCTGAACTCTCCTTAGAATCACTATTATTTTACATTATTCTTGAAATGGTATTCAATGCAATTAGAAAAGAGAAATAACAGAACTAAGTATTTGAAAAAATATGCATACTTATCAATACTGATGTTAGCTTTGATTGTGTATCTTTAGTACTAAAGATATTTAAGTAAAAAGCCTAAGAAATTTAATAAGGTGGGCTACTGTAAAATTATTATACAAAACAGTAACTCCTCTATGTACAAAAAAATTACTTCTCTAAAAATACAATAGCGACCCCCTCAACAGTTTTTTTAAGTGTAAAATACCTATGACTAAATGTAGAAAGTAATATACAGTAATATACCAAATTAAGAAGTTTAGAAAGGAGAAAAAATGAGTGGGAAATATCAGAAAGGGAGACAGAACATGAGAGACTCCTAACTCTGGGAAACAAACTAGGGGTGGTGGAAGGGGAGGTGGGCGGGGGGTGGGGGTGACTGGGTGACGGGCATTGAGGTGGGCACTTGACGGGATGAGCACTGGGTGTTATTCTATATGTTGACAAATTGAACACCAATAAAAATAAATTTATTAAAAAAAGGATGTTAGGAGTTATGTCTACAGAAAAAAAAACAAATGAAGCAGTTTACAGAATTCAATTGTTAAATGAAAACTTGAGTGAATAGAAAGATATTTGTTATTTATAGTTTGTAAGACAACTGTATAAATAGCCCACTCTAATTCCTAAGTCAATGTAATAATTCAATGTAACTCCAGTCAATTTACCAACAGGTTTTCTGTTGGAATTTAACAAAATAGGTCTAAAGCGTATCTGAAAGGATAAATGTGTCAGGAGAGTTTTGGAAGAGAAGAATATAGAGGAGGGCTTATCACACCTTACTTAAAACTCACTGTTATAAATAGGATGACACCAACATAGCAGTCCAAAATGAAGTAATAATAATATAATAAGAAGGTATACATGAGTACTTAGGACATTGTAAAGGCAGTTTTTCACATCCATAAAGGTGAAGACAACTCACCTGCTGAGGAAGGGGGGAAGAGAAAAGAGGCAGATGCCCTTAAACAAAATTTTGGATTGATCAAAGGTGATGTGGAAACTAAAACCGCACAATAACTAGAAAAAAGAATTAGATGATAATAATAATTGTTGTTATTATTTATTATTATTATTGGATAGAAAAGCCCTTTTCAAGCATGTCAAAGAAAAAAACATTATCATGAAGTAAAAATCCACTTATTTGTCTACTTTGAAGTTTATGATCTTAGTAAGGAAAAAACACATCACTACCAAAGTCAGAAGTTGAATAACAGACTGAGGGAAATGTGGCTTACAAGATAGATAAAGTGGTATCATAAGAAAAAAGAAAATTGACTTAAGGCAAAGGACACGCACAAATAACATGCCAAAGGAACAGTGGCTAATCAGATGTTTGACCTCACTGATATATATATATAGAGAGAGAGAGAGAAATTCAAATTAAAAATCGTAAAAATTTTGGGGCACCTGGGTGTTTCAGTCAGTCAGGTGTCCGGCTCTTGATTTGGCTCAGATCATGATCTCAAGGTTGTGAGAATGAGCCCCTGCTTTGGACTCCACACTCAGTAGGGAGTCTGCTGGAGATATTTTTCCCTCTGCCTTTTCCCCAGATCGTGGGTTTTCTTTCTTTCTTTCTTCCTTTCTTTCTTCCTTCTTTCTTTCTTTCTTTCTTTCTTTCTTTCTTTCTTTCTTATAAATAAATAAATATTTTTTAAAAATAGTAAAATCTCTTATTTTTTTAATAAATTTTTTATTGGTGTTCAATTTACCAACATACAGAATAACACCCAGTGCTCATCCCGTCAAGTGTCCCCCTCAGTGCCCGTCACCCACTCATACCCACCCCCCGCCCTCCTCCCCTTCCACCACCCCTAGTTCATTTCCCAGAGTTAAGAGTCTTTATGTTCTGTCTCCCTTTCTGATATTTCCCACACATTTCTTCTCCCTTCCCTTATATTCCTTTTCACTATTATTTATATTCCCCAAATGAATGAGAACATACACTGTCCTTCTCCAATTGACTTACTTCACTCAGCATAATACCCTCCAGTTCCATCCACGTCGAAGCATATGGTGGGTATTTGTAGTTTCTAATGGCTGAGTAATATTCCATTGCATACATAAACCACAGCTTCTTTATCCATTCATCTTTCGATGGACACCGAGGCTCCTTCCACAGTTTGGCTATTGTGGACATGGCTGCTATAAACATTGGGGTGCAGGTGTCCCGGCGTTTCATTGCATCTGAATCTTTGGGGTAAATCCCTAACAGTGCAATTGCTGGGTCGTAGGGCAGGTCTATTTTTAACTCTTTGAGGAACCTCCACACAGTTTTCCAGAGTGGCTGCACCAGTTCACATTCCCACCAACAGTGTAAGAGGATTCCTTAAAATCTCTTATTTTGATATCAGGTTGATAAATATTTGGGGAACAAAAAATCCAGTGTTGGTAACATGTAGAGAAACAGCCTTGCTTATTCACTTTTGGAAAGAGTTTACCTTAGCAGAATTCCTTGGAGTCAATTTGGCAACTTCTATCCAACTATAACAAGTTCTTGATGTAATAACAACCATTTCTAAGAATGTGTTCTTAGAAACAAAGAACAAGTTCACAAGAAAACATATGGACCTGGGATGCCTGGGTGGCTCAGTGGTTGAGTGTCTGCCTTTGGCTCAGGGCATGATCCTGGAATCCTGGGATCGAGTTCCATGTCAGGCTCCCTGCATGGAGCCTGCTTCTCCCTCTGCCTGTGTCTCTGCCTCTCTGCCCCATCCCTAGCTAAAGATACTCTCTGCCCCCCACCTCATGAATAAATAAATAAAATCTTATTTAAAAAAAAACAGAAAACATATGGACCAGGAAATAATAAAGTCAAAGTATTATTCAAAATAATAAAAAACTGAAAATAACCTAGATTATTTAAATAAATTATGGCAAATGCATCCATTCAACAAAAGACTATACAGATTCTAAAAGGATCTATGTCTTTATATGAAATGATGAATTAAAATATATTTTATGTAACAACATGAAAAAATGGTATATATAATTTAGTTTTACTCATTACATGTAAAGTTAGTCTATGCGTAGAAATATTCTATGCACATAGAATATTCCCCAACTTTTAACTGCCTTCATAAGGGAGAGAAGAACTTTGGGGGACCCTCACATTCTCACTTTATTTATTTCTTTATTGTTTGGATAATTTTCAATGAGAATGTATTCTTTTTGTAATCAATAAAATTTTTTGAAGAAGAAATGAGATCAAAGTTGGCATTATTAGGAAGACTTCTTTTAATAGATGAGATGTTTTTAAGGCACACAATTTCAAGAAACATATGAAAATATATTGAAATAAAATCAATTATTATTCTACATCTAGCAAATACAAGGCACTGAACTCATCACTGAAGAAATTAGAGAGCACCTGTCTTCAAGACACTTATAATATGCTTCATAAGAAAAAAAAAGCAAACAAAGAAAGCATCACATAATTTCAGCATAATAGTTAAGAGGAAAAAATCTACTTAGGAGTCATAAATAGATTCTAATCCTTCTGTCATTATTTGTGCTACCTTAGTCTGTATATGGGCCACCATTTACTGCCCATAAGTCAAACAATTCATAACAGAATCACACAGTTCATTCCATATCATATGATTTTAATTCAAAATATACATTATATTCCAAAATATAGATATTATCAAAAGATGTAATCTGTTAGTATCTGATAAGTGATTGGTAAATCAGAGGGAAAAGAAATTGTAGGGTGTGGTAATTAAAGAGGTCACTCAATCAACACCTAAAATGAAAATTAAGAACTGAATAGGTTAGCAAGGGAAGAAATGATGATCCTTGGAGAGTGAAAAATTACAAAAGGATGTACGTAAATTGGGAGATATTCTTCATGGAATAAACATGTTTGGCGAAGCAAAGCAGTGAAATGGCTGAGAAATTTGGATTTATTTCTTAGAGAATTAGCAACTACTATGCATTTTTGTGTGCAGTAAACACTAAGGTTAAGTAGAATTTATTCAAATTTCAAAAATAATTACTAAGTGTACACTACATGTCAGTCCTTGTGCTACATCACCCCCAGAAACCGGGTAAGCCCAAGAGGCACGATGGACCAACCCCTAGTGACATGTGGGAAAACCCCCTGGAAGTGCTATTAGGGCAGTATTAGCTTGAGTACTACTAGACTTTACAGAATACTATTCATTGTCAATATTACACCTACTGTTTGAAAACATACTTTAATCTTTATTTTTTTATTGGTGTTCAATTTGCCAACATATAGCATAACATCCAGGGCTCATCCCAGCAAGTGCCCTGCTCATACCCATCACCCAGTCATCCCAACCCCCCGCCCACCTCCCTTTCCACCACCACTTGTTAATTTCCCAGAGTTAGGAGTCACCCTCTCTGAAATTTTCCACTCATTTTCTCTCCTTTCCCTTTATTCCCTTTCACTATTTATCTTTAGAGTCCCTATCCCAAAGAAAGCTGAACTGTCCACTTTGAAAAGACTCTTCCCAAGGCTCCTTTTATGTCCTGATTCCTCAGGCTGTAAATAAAGGGATTCAGCATGGGGGTGATCACAGTGTACATCACAGCCATGATAGTCTCCTTAACAGTAGAATTATTAGCTGAGGGGCACAAGTAGAGACCAATGATTGTCCCATAGAAGAGAGACACCACTGAGAGGTGGGAACCACAGGTGGAGAAGGCCTTGCAGATGCCCCTGGCAGAAGGGACTTTGAGGATGGAGGAAACAATCAATGCATAGGATAAAGAGATCAGCAGAAACGGAACAAAAATGATGAGCCCTCCCAAGACAAATATAACCATTTCATTTATCTGAATGTCAGAGCAGGCCAACTTTAGAAGAGCTGACATGTCACAGAAAAAGTGAGGGATCACATTATCAGCACAGAAAGATAGTCGAACCATGAGAAGGGTGTGCAATAGAGAGATGAAAGTGGTCAGCACCCAGGACAGCACCAACAGGGAGAAACAGAGCTTGGGGCTCATGATGGTGGTGTAGTGCAGGGGGAAGCAGATGGCCACATAGCGGTCATAGGCCATGGCCACCAGGAGGAAGCTCTCCAGGTCTGCAAAAAACAGGAAGAAGTACATTTGGGTCAGGCAGCCAGCATAGGGGATGGACGGGACTTGGCTCTGCATGTTCTGCAGCAATTTGGGCATTGTGACAGAAGAGAAGCAGAGGTCAGAGAAGGATAAATTGCTGAGAAACAAATACATGGGTGTGTGGAGGTGCGAGTCCAGCTGAATGAGGACAATGATGAGTAGGTTCCCCAGGACGGTGGTAACATACATGGCCAGGAACAGGGCGTAGAACAGGTCTCGCTGATCTGGATCAATGGGAAGGCCCAGAAGGATGAATTCTGAGATGACAGTTCGGTTTCCCATTTTCATGTTGTTTTTCTTCTACCTTTTTAAGATTAATTTATATGAAAGTGTCAATACACACACAAAGACAGACAGACACACACACACACACACACACACACACACACACAAACACATGCCTGAGCTGCCTCTCCACCAGCTTTAATAGTACAAGGAGCAAGGAGTGTGCAAACCAAGTGGGGTTCTACCACCTCATACCCATCAGCAGCTGAATCCTTTTCTTGGTCTGCATCCAGCACTCCTACTCTAAAGAAAAGCCCATCTATTTGTCCACCCAGCTTATACATCCCCTCAGCCACCCACCTCAGTGGTGCAGGAAGGGAGATGATGAGCCAAAACTGACCTGAGCCCATGTTCTGCATCTGCCTCAGCCTGGGGACCACTGAAAACAGTGAGGATTTCCCCAAACTGCAGAATGACACAAAGGTCCGAGTTGCTGCAGATTCTCTATCATTGGCAAGCACTAGAACCCAGACCCTAGAACTTCAGATCCAATTCCTAACACTGAACTACCAGAAAAATGCCTCCTCCCTTCTAATTTCTTTGTTACCTAGATTAATACTATCCCAACCCATGTGAAAATCTTGTCTCTTTTCCCTTTTAAGACTTGACTGACCCAGGGACATTAGCTGGACAAGCAAGGGTTAGAAGGGAGTAGGAATGAGATGGACAGCAGGAGAAGCGGCTGAGATTGGGAAGACCCCAGTGTGCATACATAGCATTTAAGTGCTGGGCCCTTGAGCCAGTCATCCTGGGATCAGCTTATACACCCATACCTGCACCATGACCTTGGCCAAAAAATTTAACCTCCCTTAGTCAGAGTTTCCTAATAAGCTTAATTGGAACACAACAGTACCTAATTTATTCAAAGGAAGTCAGGATAAAGTGTGGCATTGGTGAGACTTACTACTGTTGTCATTAAGTTCTGTGAGGTTGCAGTATTTTCCCAAGTACCCCATCCTCATCTCCACCACCCTGCACCACCCCCCATGAGCACAGCACCTCCTCAGTCAGTGCAAGTAGAGAAAATGGAAGGAGTTCTGTGGGATAGAAGAAACTACTGGTCCAGAAAGGACAGACATTTACAACCCAAATAGTGAGAATGTCCTTTCAAATTATGAGTCGAATCTATCCCTAGCTAAAGATACTAATGTTAGGATAAATTGATGGAGGGTGAGGAAAACTAACTTCATGGAAAGAGGCTCCCAGAATGGTCTCTTACATTCTGTTTACTGCACCCCCAAGCAAAATATTCAGGAGCCCACAGGAGTCAGACTCCATCATTTACTGGCTTGCAACCTTGGCAAATTACCAAATTCTTCCAACCTTACACTTCACCGTCAGTGAATCTTACATATCTCACCGAATTGTGGGTTTGGAATGATTGATACTTGCAAAGTATGAAGTTCTCCACAAACACACAATTTATTTGTTCCTGTTAATAGCTCTGGTGATTCCCAGTTACACTCAGAAATGTGAATCACTGTTGAAAGAGGAAAACAATGAGGCTGATGACTTCTAAACTATCCTGCAAGAGTTGTACTATAGAATTACGGAATCTTAATTTAATCTGCCAAAGGAGATTTCAGAATAACTACTTCTTCTGAACCCCCTCCCAGCTTACCCAGCTTGTCTCAGTGTGGCTCCAAAGCCTTCTTCATATTTGTTACTTCCCCATCATGCGTGTTCAGCTGGAGTCCCTACCATTGCCTTGTGACTCCTCTCTTCTACAATACTCTGACCCCTGGGATCCGTGGATCCCAAAGAAACTCATTAGTAACAAACACAGTACTTGCCTCCACCCTTATTCCTGTACATTTCTGAATAAGTCATGTCCTGAGACAGAATTCTGGGTTTACACTAAGTCGCATCTTCTCAAGAAAGCTTTCCCCAACCATTACAGGCCATGCTAATATCTCCCTTCTCTTACCTTCTGCAATATCTGGCCTTCTACAACAGTTATCAGCATCAAATACTGTATCACTTCGTTACCACTGTTACATATTGCCCAATGATTGCTTCCATATATACCAACCTTCTCCAGTGGTCTTTAATTAAGCTCCATGAGAGCAAGCATTGTGTCGATTGACTCACCCAGGAAATACTTAATCTATTAGTTCATTAATGCATTCCTTCTATAAATATTTACTGGGTACCTACCATGTGCAAGGCACCGTGTCCATGACTGCGGGAAAAACTGTGGCCAAGGTAGACATGGTTCCTGCCCTCAAAGACCATATAGTCTAGCTCATAGACATGGCAACTAAACAAATTGCCATAAAGCATTACAAATGTTATCATGGGAAAAATACAAGATGTGATAGGAGTGTATATTAAGGACACCTAGCCTTATCCACTAGGTCAAGAGAAGACACGCTTTTTTTATGAAGTTTAAGCAGAATCCTTTTTTTAAAAGGAAATGAAAGTATCTAGAGAGGAAATAGTATATGGAAAACCTCAGAGGCGAGAGGATCTGGAGCTTTTTAAAAGTAAAGGAAGTTCAGTGTGGCTGAAGTATAGTGCATGTGCTAGGAGGCAGGCAGAAGACGGAGGTTGTTGGGCAGGGGGAAGGTACAGTTTGGTGACTCCTCAAAAAGTTAAATGTAGACTTGCCATATGATCCAGCAATTCCACTTTGGTATATACCTAAAAACACTGAAGTACTAAAACAAATACTTGTACATGAATGTTCATAGCAGCACTAGTCACAATAGCCCAGTGTGGAAGCCACCATCAACTGATGACTGGATAAAGAAAATGTAGTGTCTCCATACAATGGAATATTATTCAGCAATAAAATAAACAAAGTATTGATACCTACCATAAAATGGATAAACTTGGAAAATATTATGCTAATTAAAAGAAGGCAATCATAAAAGCGACATTATATGTTACTATTTATGTGAAATATCAAGAACAGGCAAATCCATAGAGACATAAAGTAGATTGATGATTGCTAAGGAAAAATGGGTAGTGATTGTTAATGGGATTTCTTTAGAGGTAGTGAAAATGTTCTAAAATTGATCATGGTGATGGTTGCACAATTCCGTGAGTGTATAAAAAATAATTTTATACTTGAATGGGCAAATGGTAGGGTATGGTATGGAATTATATTTAACAAATCTCTAATAAAAAACAAGTCTTTATCGTTGGAGAAATTTGCATGTGGATTATATTAAATATATGCATATTGATGTTAAATTTCTCGGGTGTGATAATGGTATTGTAATTATGTATGAAAATGTTCTTGTTTCCAGGAGATCCTGAATGCTGAATTTCGTGGCTAAGTGTCTTGATGTCTGAAAATTATCTCAAATAGATTGGCTATTTTATTAATTTTTAAAGTTTTTATTTTAATTCCTGTTAGTTAACATACAGTGTTATATGTTTCATGTGTGCAGTATAGTGATTTAACATAGATCAGCCATTTTAAACGAAGAAGAAAAATGAAAGGAGAAGAAGAAAGAGAGGGAGAGAGAGAGGGGAGGAACAGAATAAGGAAGGCAGAAAGAGAGAGCTTGATATGTGCTATAAATATGAATGAATGAAACATGAACAAATTTGAGCAACTGACGGAGTATAAGCAAAACAAACTAATTTGAAACTAAGCTTGTAGCTTTTGTTTTGAACATTGTAGGTGTAATGACACAGGATTTCATGTTTTAAAATCTCTATTCTCACATCTTGCTGTTAAAATAGAAATTCAATCATTTATAAATCTGTCAGTTATGTGGTCATTCAATTATCAATTCTTATTTTTTCAATTTTCTCTTTCCTCATTAACACTGAAGTTGAACATCTTTTCATACTGTTTATTCTTCACGAATTTTCTGTAAATATTTTTTATGTTTTAAGTTTTTATTTTAATTTCAGTATAGTTAACATACAGTATTATATTAGTTTCAGGTATACAATATAATGATTAAACAACTCCATACATCACCAGTGCTCCTCACAACAAGTGAATTCCTTAATCCCCATCCTCCCCCTCACTTCCCCTCTGGTGACCATCAGTTTGTTCTCTGCAGTTAAGAGGCTGAATAATATCCAACTATGTATACATATATACCACATCTTCTTTATCCATTCATCTATCAATGAACAGTTGGGCTGCCTCCCTAATTTGGCGCCTGTAAAGATGCTGCTATAAAACACAGGGGTGTGTGTATCCCTATGAATTAGTGTTTTTGTATTTGGGGGGATAAATGCCTAGTAGTTCAATTACTGAATCATAGGATAGTTCCATTTTTAACTTTTTGAAGACCCTTCATACTGTTTATACTGGCTGCACCAGTTTGCATTCCCACCAACAGTGCATGAGGGTTCCTTTCTCTCCATATCTTTGCCAACTCTTGTTTCTTGCATTGTTGATTTTAGTGCTCTGACAGGTGTGAGGTGATAGTTCATTGTACTTTCAAATTGCATTTCCCTGATGATGAGTGAAGCTGAGCATCTTTTCATGTGTCTGCTGGCTATTTGTATGTCTTCTTTGGAGAAATGTCTGCTCATGTCTTATGCCTATTTTTAACTGGATTATTTACCTTTTGGGTGTTGAGTTGTATCAGTTCTTTATATATTTTGGATATTAACCCTTTATCAGATATGTCACTTGGCAAATATCTTCTCCAATTCCGTAGGTTGCCTTTTAGTTTTGTTGATTGTTTCCTTTGCTGTGCAGATGCTTTTTATTTTTGATGTAGCCCCAATAGTTTATTTTTGCTTGTATTATCCTTGCCTCTGCAGACATAGGCAGAAAAATGTGGCCAAAGACATCACTGCCTGTGCTCTCTTCTAGGATTTTTGTGGTTGCAGGTCTCACAGTTATGCCCTCAGTCCATTTTTAGTTTATTTGTGTGTATACTTTAGGAAAGTGGTTCAGTTTCATTCTTCTCCATGTGGCTGTCCAGTTTTCCCAACACCGTTTGTTGAAAAGACTGCATTTTTCTTATTAGATATTCTTTCCTCGTTTATCGAAGACTAATTGACCATATAATTGTGGGTTTATTGGGGGGTTTTCTGTTCTATCCCACTGATCCGTGACAGTAACATACTGTTTTGATCACTGAAGCTTTGTAACATAACTTGAAATCTGGAATTGTGATGCCTCTAGTTGGTTTGCCTTTTTCAAGATTCCTTTGGCTATTCAAGGTATTCAGTTTGCTTTATTTTTATATTACTTGTACGTGCTTTTTGTATATTCTGGATTTTCATCTTGTGTCTGTTAGACATTTACTGTCTGTCAATTCTCTTTCAAGTTTGTTTATGCTTTTTTCCTAGATAACTTTCTTCTTTGTATATGGTCAAATATGTCAAACTCACATCAATATGTTTGTCAGTTTCCACAAAAACAATTCCTTTGAGAATTTGACTTGGATTGTACTGAATGTATTTGGAGAACTGGTGTTGTTAAAATACTGAGGTTTCAAAATTCACCAAAATGCACAATTTTTAAATGGATTGATTTTAGTGTATAAAGATTACTCTTCAAAAGCCATTTAAAATGAGCCACCCCTGTGATCCCTGAGTGGCTCAGTGGGTTTAGCGCCTGCCTTCGGCCAGGGTATGATCCTGGAGTCCCAGGATCGGGTCCCACGTCAGGCTCCCTGCGTGGAGCCTGCTTCTCCCTCTGCCTGTGTCTCTGCCTCTCTTTCTCTCTGTGTCTCTCATGAATAAATAAATAAAATCTTTTTTAAAATAATAAAATAAAATAAAATGAGCCACCCAAGGGCAGCCCGGTGGCTCAGTGGTTGAGCACCGCCTTCAGCCCAGGGCGTGATCCTGGAGAACCAGGATCGAGTCCCACGTCGGGCTTCCTGCATGGAGCCTGCTTAATTAATTAATTAATTAATTAATTAATTAAATGAGCCATCCAGGGCCATTGTATATGTCCACCTATTGTGGTATTCTTTTTATCTCTCAGTAAAGTTTTAAAGTTTTCTTCTTATATTCTTGCACGTAAATTTCATTGCTATTGAGAATAGGGTCTATTTTTTCATTCTCTTTTTAATGAAATTTTTCATTATAAAGGAAAGTTATAGAAGAAAGTACATTAATATAAATATTAATCTTTTTTCTTGTCACTATGTATCTGTTGTATGATGGCACTGAGATTTCAGAATTTATCCATTATAGGAACTAGTGTTACCTTAGCTGTCTCATGCATATAATAAACTATTTCAAGAAATACCATATTAAATAAAATGTGCCATGCAATATTGTATAATCTATTTCTGTGGAGATATATATATATATATATATATATATATATATATATATATATATACACATACATATACAGAAGTGGCTGCTCAGGTAACTGGGTAGAAGGTGACATCATAAATGAAGATATAGAATAAAGGACAAAGAGTAGACTTGAGAGAACATAAAGAGTCAATATTGTTTGTGCATGTTGAGCTTGAACTGTTCACAGAGCCTCAAGTGGAGATGTCCAAAGGGCACATGACAATAAGAGTTTGAAACTCTGGAGGAAAGTCTTGGCTTCAGATAGAGATGTGGAGCTCACTAGAATGTATTCGAGGATGAAAGTGGTAGGTTTGGATGCCATCACTTAGAGGGGACAACTGAGGACACAAATGCACTGAAGTTGGAAAACTAGTCCATACCATAAATGGAGATGACGGTTTTGTTTTTTAATGGCTTCCCTCTTTCTTTCTAAATTGAAAGACAATGAGAAGAAATCATAGAATCACTTAGTCTGGGATCTTACATAGACTCAACGATTGTCACACTGTGTGACTTGACAAGTAATTGAACATCATGCTTTTCAATCTATGAAATAGTACCATATCTTCTCTATTCCGTGGAATTGTCATGAGGTTGAGGGAAGGATAAAAACATAGACACAAACTTCTTTTATAAGGTCCACAATACCAAACAGAAAAGAGGCATCCTTAAACTCTGAACTTGTTTACCAGCTTCCAGCTTCTTTCCCCATTCCTGGGGAAATACATTTTAGGTCCCACGGGTGTTGGTTATTCCCAGGTAAAGGCAAAATATTCTCTTATAGTCAAGGGCTAGAAAAATCCATTTCAGATCAGGCCAGGTCAGAAAACAGAGTGGACATGAAAATAAATACGTGTGTGTGTGTGGGGGGGTATTGTTAAGAGATAAAATGATGTGAATCTCGTGCAGAGAGAGGTAAGTAGGAGACATTAAGAGGGAGGCTGGGAGGTGGAGATGTTGGACCTCATTTAGTATTGATGTAAAAGTATAAAGAATCTTTTTTAAATTATACCACAATCAAATCAGACTTCTAGCTTTTAAAAAAAATAGTCTCCCATAAATTAGTTAAAGAATGTAAGGCATGAAGATCATTTAAAACAGGAGTTCTTAAAATACACTTTGCCAGAATCTCCTGGGGAACATAAAGAGGAGAGCTTAGCCAGCAGCTCACCAAGACCCCTCTTCCCTAGTTCAGCTCCACAGCTCCACTGTACCTCTTTTACATATTGAATAATTATTTACCATACCATTTTGACAGGCTTTCCATGGTAAGAGAAAACATCTGGAATAGTATTCCAATATTATTATATCTACTAGATAGAAATATGTAAAAGTATCAAATGTTACCATCACACAGAGAAGGTAATTTTCTTTCTACAAATGACTCTTCTCAGGGCTCCCTTCATGTCTTTATTCCTCAGGCTGTAGATGAAGGGGTTCAGCATGGGGGTGACCACAGTGTACATCATAGCCATGATAGTCTCCTTAACAGTAGAATTATTAGCTGATGGGCATAAATACAGACCAATAACTGTCCCATAGAAGAGAGACACCACTGAGAGGTGGGAGCCACAGGTGGAGAAGACCTTGCAGATGCCTCTGGCAGAAGGAACCTTGAGGATGGAGGACACAATCTGTGCATAAGATGTGATGATGAGCAGGAATGGGATCACGAGAATGAGCCCTCCCATGATAAATATCACCAACTCATTAACTTGAGTGTCAGAGCAGGCCAGCTTCAGCAGAGCAGACATATCACAGAAAAAGTGGGGGATTCTGTTGGCACAAAAACACAATCTGGCCATTAACAGAGTGTGTAGTACAGCATGGAACATGGTTAGCACCCAGGACAGCACCAACAGGGAGAAACAGAGCTTGGGGCTCATGATGGTGGTGTAGTGCAGGGGGAAGCAGATGGCCACATAGCGGTCATAGGCCATGGCCACCAGGAGGAAGCTCTCCAGGTCTCCAAAAAACAGGAAGAAGTACATTTGGGTCAGGCAGCCAGCATAGGGGATGGACGGGACTTGGCTCTGCATGTTCTGCAGCAATTTGGGCATTGTGACAGAAGAGAAGCAGAGGTCAGAGAAGGATAAATTGCTGAGAAACAAATACATGGGTGTGTGGAGGTGCGAGTCCAGCTGAATGAGGACAATGATGAGTAGGTTCCCCAGGATGGTGGTAACATACATGGCCAGGAACAGGGTGTAGAACAGGTCTCGCTGATCTGGATCAATGGGCAGGCCAAGGAGGACAAATTCTGAGATGACAGTTTGATTCTTTTCTGTCATGCTTTGTCTTCAGTATCTTTAAGAAGAAATTACAGTGTCCATTAAACCTGAATTTAAAAATAAACATATTTCTATGCTACGTGATCTGTTAAGTGCTCTGTAAAGTTACTTGTATCACTCTCATCACAATAATTACCATTTATAGCCAAAATTCTAAGATCAGAATCTCTATGATCAGAAATGACTTTTCTTCACTTCTCTTTAGCAATATTCCAACTTTTATAAAATACTCCTATCTATTACCTCTGAGATACATATATATTGGTTTTTTCTCATACCTAACTGACCAGACATCCTCAGTAACTCTAATTAGTTTTGTCAGTCTCTTCATGTTGACATTCCATGGCTTTTTCTTAGACACTGTTCTCTTATAATGCTACATATACCACAAAGAAAAACTCATCTACTCCAAAAGACTGAACTACCATTTAAATGTCAGTTGTAGATGACTCTCTAATCTGTAAAACTGTGTATGTAATTGATTAATGATTATCTTCCTTAGACTTAGCACATGTATTTTAAGCTCAGAAAATCCTAAAAGAAGCTCATGAACTCACCCTGCCCCTCTCCCAATCTGTGCCTCCAAATCTCTCACATCTCAGTAAAAGAAACTCAGGCACAAGTCATACACCTGAGAGCTCTCTTTTCTTCCCTACTTTCTCTCATCCTCAATATCCAACCACCCAATACATCCTAAAGATTCTGCTGCATTAAACCTCTTTCTCATCCATCCACTCCTTATCTCAACCATCACTATCCTGGCTGGGCTGACATCATGTCTTGTCTGTACTATTGGAACAGCCTCTTCCCTCTTCACTCATCTCCCTGTTTCCACACTTGAATACCCTCTCCATCAATATCCTTCACTCACACGTTGGCATTCTAAGATGAAAATCTGATCATTCTTTCTAAAGTCTTAATGGATTCTCAGTGCTCTTAAGATAAAGGCAAAATTCCTTTCAAAGGAATTGCACAAAACATGCTTCATGACCTGACCCTTGTTGCCTTCCACAGCTTCACCTGGCCCCATAGTGACACTCACATTCACCTCTCCGGAAATGCTAGACTTGAAAGGACACAATATCTTGCCTCCAGCCTTTCCCACTTGCTGTATCCTCCACCTAGCATCTTCTTCCCTCTGCTCCCTCTTCACCTAGATGCTCCTACTTATCCTTCAGGCATATTGCATGTCATTTACTCAGTTATACCTCTCCTGTTCCCTTCAGACCAGGTGAGACCTGCTGCTATCCACAGCATCCTGGACTTGCCCCTAAAGCACTCAATTCCCAGGGGATTGTTTACAGTGGCTCTCCCTAGTGGATTGGAAACATTCAGGGAAGGCCACATCTGCCTTCTATGACTGCAGAAGTGTCAGCACCTGGCACATTGCCTGGACGTAGCCAACATTTCATAAATATTTATTGACTGTGCTTCAGGCTGAGACATGCATTCCTTCAACTTTAAAGACAGCAAACTCCTATTAGAATATCTACTCCTACTAAGTCATCTCAGAACAAGAACTTACTAGTTTTTGACACTTCATCATAGAATTCCCTGACATATCCTCTAACTCATGGAAAACTTGAAATACTTGAACTACACTGCTTTTTAACCTAAATAGACAACTCAGTATAGACATCCACACCATCACTATTTCCTTGTGTTGTATTCACATGATTTGGTGATAGTGCTGTAAAAAAAACAAATGTAATGGATAGAGGTTTAGCAATTTGGGGAGAAAGGGAAGAAATAAAAGTAATTTCTGCCCACGAGACCTTACATAGCAATACTTATGAATGCTAGCATTAAAAAGAAAGACTAAATGTAGCTGCTGAGTATCAGCCAAAAATATTTCTAGAATGTGGAGAAGTTTTGGGAGGCAGGAATATGTAGAAGAGGAGGGTTATCATACCTGAATAACTATCCTACAGAATGTCATACAACCTGGGAAAGCAAGACCCTTGGGTTGGACGGACCCTAAGAGACAGGCTCATTCACCCTCTGCCCAACTTACCCAGTGTGTCTGAGAGTGACTCCAGCACATTAACCTAAGGTCCTGTTTCCCTTTATTTACTAAAACATGTGAAGTGACAGTCTCTGTAGTCATCACCTGTGTCTGCAATATCCCTTCTCACATCTCCTGTTCTATGTATCCCTGGGCCTGAGAGGCCCTGGGTCCCAGAGGAGTCTATATCCTAAAGGAACTCATTAAAGTAACAGAAATTATCCAAGACCCTTAGGACTAATGCTCAGAGCCCTGGAGCAGTGACTGATTACATCACTGATCACACCTGACTATACTTTAGGGGAAGGCGGGGAAGGAGAGAAGTCCATATATGGATGCTTAATCACTGCCTGTTTAGGGAATGGACAGTAGTCTTGTGGGGCTGTAACCTACATTTTGGGAGGTGAAGGAGGATGGTTGGAGAAGCCCTAGAAAGGAACAAGGACTGTGAACATCCTAAAACATCTTACAGTGTAAGAGGTTTTGTCTTATGGGCAAGAAGAAGTCATCTGTGGTCTTTGAACAAAGTGCCACGAAAGACACATATTTTGGAAAGATTCCCAGGGTGGCATAATCTCTCACTGCAACCATTTCTCATAAACGTACCCAAGGGTAGGGACGCCTAGGTGGCTCAGTGGTTGAGCATCTGCTTTTGCCTCAGGGCATGATCCCTGGTCTGCAGATGGAGTCCTGCATCAGGCTCCCTGCAAGGAACCTGCCTTTCTATGTGTCGCTCATGAATAAATAAATGAAATCTTAAAAACAAACAAAACAAACATACTCATGGGGAGACACAAACCTACAGCTAAAAGAAATTATAGATCTCTATGAACCAATCATCAGCAGATGCATAGAAAGTACTGGAATAAAAGATAAATCCCCCAGATTATTTTCTATTTTTTCTCATGCAGAGATAGAAACCTAGACTTTCATTCCACTGAGGTATGTTTAGCTTTTTTAAATCTCTGTAGGAAACCTTAATAACACCCTGCCACCACTCTCCACATGTCAGATTACCTCCTAGTTTCCAGCTTTCTTACTCTGTATTGATCATAAGTCCGTAGCCAATATTTATAACTTTTTCCATACTTCCTCTACGGTTTATCACTTCAGCCACATGGTCTTTTATTTCATTCAGTCTTCATTCCTTAGGAGTCCAAATCCTCAGTGTTCTTGCTTTTATTTGGGTTGTTATAGTTTTCCATTAACTTTTACCAAGTAGTACTCCAAAGAATCTCCTGGGCACCAGGCATGGTCTTTCCTTTTTGTATAGAGAAATCCAATTTTCTGTTATTAATTTGGATTGAATTGCCCTAGACAATATGGTAACTCCTTTATTTGTCTGTTGGTTCAGTAACACACACACAAAAAAAAAAACTAAAATGGCGAACTGGCAGTGCCAGCTTCCAGTAGAATAGAGCCATTAAAGCAATCCTGGTAGAAGCATTCCTTAGGTGCTATACCAGAACCTTCTTGTACACTACTCCAGACTCTCAGACATCTTTCATTTCAGCTGCAGTAACCAGTTCTGCAGACTTCAACAAGCTTCAGGGAGATACAATCTAACTGTATTACCTTACCTTACATCTGCTCCACCTGTTTATTGCATCCTGCCATAGGGTTTTTCTGCTTTCATGGAGTAGAATATCACTAGTAGCCACTTTAATACTGATACATACACAACCTGAGAATGTAAGAGAGTTTAGGACCCATGTGCCAACCCTTAAAAAACAAGTGGCAAGAGGTAAGGAATATATGCTTCCCATTTTCTCTAAGATGGATGGTTCTATGATGCATTTAATCAAGCCTTATTCACTCCAGTAGTGGCTAGCTTAAAAAGCCACTCCAGTTATCGGTTCTCCTTTCTTTGCTATTTACACTCTTTTGTCTCTTCCGGTGAGAAAACAATTTCAAATAAACTACTAGCAAATAAGACTTTGTCCGCATCTTGGGCAACCCAGTCTACAGCGAAAATAAGATCTCTAAACCAGCAGTCCAAAATTGTTTGGTGGGAAGCAAAAATGTTTTGAGTACATTACTTGGTCTTAGATGACAAGTCAGTCCTGCTACCACCCCTTGAATCCCAGACTCATGAATCATGGCTCTGGAAGAAATAGCACCATATGTAGGTTCTTGATTAAAAGTATATACCATATTCTATAGGAGCGTACACCAATCTTTCCGGATGTGATCTCTCAACTGGCATCACAACTGAATCTTTGGTGTAAGGCAGATGCATTTTAGAAGGACAGATATAAGGAAACAGAGAATTAAATGCAAATTATATACAAAAGTGTATATAAATATATACATAAAATACATAGTACATAGGTTCACCAAATATTTGAAGTAATTAAATGACCAGCATAGACTGGCAGCTCCAGTGTAATACTTAGTAGCAGTACTTGGCACCCTTATCATACTCCTGACTTTAGTGGGAATGTCTCTATATTTTTCCCATTAAGCTTAATGTTGGCTTTTGGGCTGATTCAAACACACTATTACATCATGTTAACTACCTATTCCCATTACTTTGAGCATTTTTATCTATAAATAGTTTAATTTTAGCAACTGTACCATTTTCATTTTTTAAAAAAAACTCTTTCTACATTTAAAATGATTGAAATATTTTAATTCAATAAATGAAATACAAAAAAACTCAGTAGCTACAACCATGGAGATGATCGTTTAAACAATAATAGGAAAATGCTTTAAATTATACTATTTAAACTTCCTTCATCACTATTTAAATTTCATTCATTATATCAGTATAGCACTTCATCTCAGCATCCACAATTTTAACAAATGCTTGGAAAGATTTTTGTTCAGAAACAGACGCTGGTCTGACAGAAACACATTTGAAAATATTCTTTTTCTGGTCATAGTTTCCAACACACCTATGAACTCGGCCTCTAATCAGTCTTGGAAGTTCGCGATCCTGTTTTTAAAAAAAAATAAATATCAATGGAGTTATTTACTTCATCTGAATTTCAATTTTTTTAAACTAGTAATATGACCAATTAAATATGAATCACACCAAAATGCTGTAATTCCCTCACCTGATTTAGGGCCCCACCACTGATAAGACCATTACAGCTAGGCATATATGGGTGCCTTATCACAGAGGAAGGATCTTCACTTGGGTAGAGCTTCTTACAAGCTAGTGGGCTGTTGTTTCTTAAAAGACTGAATAACTCCCAATGCAATGGTACATGAATTATTCACTTTATTAGACTGCTTAGAGTTCAAGTTCCAGTAGACAGCTGACCAAGTAGTTCAGACCAACTCTCTAAGAACTAGAACAGCTGGATGAAATATTTAAAAATCTTCTTATAGATACTAGAGAGATATCAATGCAATGAGGGATTAGAGAGGCTCCAATCTAGAAAGTACAGGAGTCCAAAATGGGACTTGACACTTAGGGATGTTTCCCCTTGAGGTTATCTGTCAAGGATAGTCAAGGCAACTGAGAGTATAAGAAACTGAGCAGACCTTTGACAGGCTCCTAGGACTGAGTAATAAATAATGGAATCAGAGGCTACCAAGGAAGAGAGAGTCTAGTCACCACTCCCACCCTCATCCCTGGCTTAGGGGTTGGGACCCACAAGTGCTATGCCTTAATGGGATCAGTAAAATGGAAAAAGACCAAGCAGCATCAAATCCTCTCAATCATGAATAAAAGTAAAGTATTCTGGAAATACTTTCCCCAAATGTCATAAAAATCACTAGTTATAAAAGGTAGTAATGATAATTGCTAAATTGCTAATTGTGTATGTTTATATACATGCACTATGATGCAGTGATTTTACTTCTACATATATGCTCAACAGAAATGTGTGCATATGCACAAGAGACATATATAAGAATATTCACAGAACATTATTCATAACAGCAAAAAATCTGGAAACTCGAATGCTGCCAACAGTAGAATGAAAAGCTAAATTGTTTTACAATGGAATATTGTGAATGGAAATATAAATAAATGGACTATAGTTACATAAAACAACACTGATGAATCTAACAAATATTGTGTTGAGGGAAAGACATAAAAGATGTATCATATAATAGTATTTATATAAGATTCAAAACTAAATAGAATTAATTTGTGATACTAAGTCAGGATAGTAGTTGCTTTTAGGAGACAGGACATAGTGAATGAGAGGAGACACAGGATGAATGGGGTGACAGCAATGTTCTATTTCTTAGCCTTGGTAATGTTCACTTTGGGATATTTTATAGGTACTTCTTAGAATTGTACAATTCTGATTTGTATACTTTTAGGCATATGCTATACTTCAATAAAAAAATTAAAACTTAATAGACTAGAGAAAAATAAGCATTAAAGGTATTATAGAAATTAATAATTACTATTTCTTGATCATTTATGTGTCAGATGCTGTATATTCCTATGTTTTATTATCTAATCTCCAAAATAATCTTTTATTTTATTTTTTTTTAATTTTTATTTATTTATGATAGTCACACAGAGAGAGAGAGAGAGAGAGAGGCAGAGACACAGGCAGAGGGAGAAGCAAGCTCCATGCACCGGGAGCCCGATGTGGGATTCGATCCCGGGTCTCCAGGATCGCGCCCTGGGCCAAAGGCAGGCGCTAAACCGCTGCGCCACCCAGGGATCCCCAAAATAATCTTTTAAAGTAGGAATTAGTCTCTCCATTTTACAGATTAAAAAAACTCAGGAAATTAGTATCTGACTCAAGGCCGCAAAGCTAGTAAATGGTGGAGTAAAAATTGGAATACAAGTCTGATTTCAGAATTAAGGGCTTTTTCAAAATTAATACCAAACTCTTCTACAAGTATGTAAATCTTACAAAATCCCCAGCCTCCTTGGTCACCTGCAGACTTGTCACCAAGAGTCTTTCCTATAACCCAGCCCACTCCTCGCCTTCCTCCACTTTCAGAACCACTATCCCTGCACACTCTGGTGATTATAAACTACTTGCAATTTCCTCTACAATCCATGCTTTCTCTCAACATCATGTCTTTGCATATGCCACCCTCTCACCTAAGAATGCATTCCTCCCACCTCTCTCCTCCCCCAACCGATTTTGGCTTCATTTAGTACTCTTTAAATATGTAAGATAAGACAGATTACATTCTTCGAAAATCTTTCTCTGATCTGCCCATCCTTCCTATCTTTTATATTTATAGCACATGGTACATACCTTTACCATACCATTTATCATACCACAGTGTAACAATTATGTAATTCTTTCTGAAATTATAATAAACTCTTTGAGAGGAAGAGCTATTTAGCACTTTTTATATTATATCCCACTTTGTATCCCTTGCATCTAGCACAGTACCTGGCATATAGCAGGTTATCTATATTAACTGAACAAATAAGCTTTAAGGTAAGAACTGAAGCCAAACAAAATGTTGAAAGTACTACTAAATTGTTAACAGAATTTCTACTGCAATGGAATTACAGCCCACACTTGTATGTTTTGTTGGCACAGGCTTTGCAAGGAATATTTGAAATACTTACTATTTCATAAAATACACAAGACAGAGTATTTTTCCCATCTCGCATAAGGAAATTCTTCGAATAATATGGACCAGGTGTAACGGCTGAATCGAGAACAGCTAAGCAAAATTAAAATGGGGGTAGGGGGAATCAGTGCTGGTAAAATGCAAATAAAATTTAACAGTGAAGAGTGATGTTTAAATAACTATTACTACACCAAACTCTTCTAGTTTTATTTATACAATAATAAAGATAACATCTTTAGAGGGAACAATATTTCTGAAACTGTTTTTATACTAAGGGAAACAATATTTCTGGCCCTCCCCAACTCAGGCATTAAGTCAGAGCCCTTCTAACAACCTTTCCAGTTTTAACATTATCAATTTGAAGACTACTACCATAAATAACCAAATAAATCTTAAGTCACACAAATCAATGACATATCCAGAGTGAAGAAAATCCTAATAAACCATAATCTCCTTTTGCAACTGTTATTTTTAAGATCCTCTAGGTACTGGAATGCGTGGGTGACTCAGTTAAGCATCTGCCTTCACCTCAGGTCATGATCCCAGGGTCCTGGGACTGAGCCCCACATTGGGCTCCCTGCTCAGAGTGGAGTCTGCCTTCTCTCTTTCCTCCTCACCCGTGCTCTGTCTCACTATCTCTGTCTCTCTCTCAAATAAATAAATTTAAAAAAAAAGATACCCCTAGGTATTCCAACAGACATTCAAAACTATTGTTCAAATAGTATTACTGAGGTTTTCTGAAGTACTATACCTACCCAATATTTCAAAAAGAAGTACAGTTTTCTGTGCATGTTCACGCCAGTACTTCATGCTTTCAATAACTGCAGATATAATTCTTAAAGAATTATCTTTTTCCTTAAGCTTTAACTGGTATAATGAGCTTCCCTTTTGAAAAATAAAAACAGCATTAGAAAAACTTCTCATTTTTTTCATCATACTCTTTAACTTTCCACGTAAAGATTCTAGGTCCTTGTGTATAAAATGTATAAAGTATGTTTCAAAAACTATTGAAAATTTTAGTACATCCTTTAGTACATCCTAAATTAAAGACATTAGCACTTTATAGGAAGAGAAACCAGGATACTTGGAGAAAATCAAGAAGAGAATTGTTTGTGTGGACATTCACTCACTCATTTATTTATTGAATTTTTAAGAGAATTATTTATATGGACATTCAGTCATTTATTAAATATTTTTAAAGCATTGTGTGCCAATCCTGTAATAAACTCAGGTGAGTAAAACATAGTTCCTTTCCCTAATGTGTTCATACCCTAAGAGGGGGCCAGACACGTTCACTCATTCTTTCCAAAGGTACTTACTGGCATTTACTATGTGTCAAATGTGGGTAATGAGGAAATAGCACCGTACTTGAAACAGACAAGATATCTCATAGATTTTGCCCTCTAATGGAGGATTCAGAAAATAAATACATAATAGAATATCAGGAATTGATATATACTATGAATAAAAAAACAGGGTAAAAGGATAAAAAGAAACAGGAATTAATACTTTAAATAGGTTATTAAGTGAGGACTAAGGGAATAGCAAAGTTAAAGACCCTGAGATGGGAATGTGTTTGGCATTTTTAAAGATGAACTAAGAATACAGTATGTTAAGGTACTAACCTGCGGGGGTGGGGGGGTAGCACTTCCTTTGTGAGGGTGGGGGCACATCAAACAACACTTGGTGGGACTTTTTCCAACTACAATTACCTTCCTTCCTCCTCCCCTTCCTAACCAAGACATGAATGCCTCCCACTGAGAGCTACTGCCATAATATGCAACTGTTACTCAGGTAACTATATCCTATCATTCTTGTGTTCAAGGAAACATAAGGTTGAAAGCCACTATGATATATACTGCATTAGTCAGGTTTCTAGCAAAAAAAAAAAAAAATTTACTCCAAATGGCTTGTTGAAAAGACTTCTTATGGGTATATGGGCAGAACAAATACAGGGTATTTAAGCCCTCAAACCTAACAACAATAAGAGACTTTTGTCATTCCTAGGCTGAAAGGACAAGGGAAGAAAATAAAATCACATCTGTGAAAGCTGGACTCATGGAGGGGCTATATCATTTAGGAACAACTACTGCCTACAACATAACAGTTAAAAAGGGAGAAAATGGGAAAACCCAACCTCCTCTCCACCCTCTGATTTCCTGCCAGTGACTCTCACTGGCTGACCCCTAACAAGAGCTAGCCTAGTGACCTCAGGATGATGCACTATGCAGGACAACTCATCTTTCCAGAGCACAGAGAAGACAGAGAGTAAAAATTCTATTGGACCAGGGGACAAGGAAAGAAGGTAGTGAACAACTAGCATACATAATATATAAAAGATATTTACAAAGAACAATTGAAGAAAGGAGTGGTGAGAGGAGGAAGTAAGACTGAAGTACAGGTATAGGGAAAAATATAAACCAAAGCAGAGTCATATTACAATGCATATCATGTTCAGAGAATCGTGAAGGGTCTGAAATGACTAGTCTATTAGAGAATTTGTAGATTATGGAATATGAAGCTGGAAAGATAAACTGTGGCCTGCAGTCCAAATCTAACCTGTTTTTGTAAACTTTTATTGGAACACAGCTAAGCCTATTCATTTATATATTGTCTATGGCTGTTTTCAAGCTACAATGGCAGAATTGAGTGTATAGCTAAGAAAGGCCATATGACCCATGAAGTAAAAAATATTTTCTATCTGACCCTTTATAAAAAGAGTATGCTAACCCCTATAATAAAAAAAAAAAAACTTAGACTGACATATGAAGAACTGGGAGAATTTCTGTAAGTAATGGATAAACTCTTATCATCTCCATAATCAGTCAACAGTGAAATTCAGAACCCGGTAGGACACTCTAAAGCGACTATGAAAAGGACCAGCCACTCACAACCTCTAAGGAAATATTTTGGAAACATTTATATGCACCAATGAAACTAGATATTTGTGTTTATCATGAAATACATGCCATTACATTGATTTTAAATGCTCTTATCTTTGTTATCTAAATATTTCATATTTTTAAATGTAAATATTCCATATTTAAAAGTTTACCTGGAGAGTGCTTTTTTCTGGAATATCATCCAACATTTTCTTCTTAAACTGATTTTGTTGAAAGTTAGGCTTAACTGCCTGTAATGCACTGTTTTTGTCTAGACCTCCCATTGTAGAGCCAGGTATTTTTGAGGAATGTGCTTGTCTGAGTACTTCAGTTTCTCTTTGGTGAGATGAGTTAGGAGGTTCTGATACTCTTAACTGTTTCCCTTGTTGAGTTCCCCAACTCCTTGGACAAGAATTTATTCCATCATTTGCCACCAGGTTTGTTCTTTCGCACTGAGGCCTAACATCATTTCTAGCCCAAGTTTTCCAGCTGGTCTTTTTGTTGCCATCTCTGTAGCTGTAATAGTTTGTTTTTAATATTAAGTTTGTTTCTATATATTTTAATTTTAAAAAATTAATAGTGAAAAATTGTGGATTATAAAGTACTTTGTAACTACTGATTAGTTAGAAATTCCAAATACATTTTCACAACAACCCTACAATACATTATACTTCTCTTTTTAGGTGAGGAAACTGAGAGAAGGAAGTAACTTGCCTGATGTTATACAAGTTACTATCAATCTGGAACTCTGAGAATCCTAGTCTCCCAACTCAGAGCCCAATGCTAAAAAAGTATATTTTTAAACTACATAAAAGCTTTCATACGACAGTGGTTGTCTCTGAGTGGTAGGAGTCTGAGGATATCTGCCTACTTCCTTATATGTTTATTTTACAATTTTCTACAAAGTAAAATTTTAATAAGCTAAACTATGGCTTAAAGGTGATTTTAAGTCACAAGGAGACACTGGGTGTTATACTGTATGCCAACAAATTGAATTTAAATATCTTAAAAAATGAAAATAAAACAAATTATAAGAAGAATAAATATAGACAGTGTAGATAACATTTGATTAGAAATTTTGTACTTTTACTATATAGCTTTAAAGCCTGACTTATGAATCTGTTGCAACATTTTAGCAGCTACATTAATCTAAGTGAGTTACATTAGCTGATGAGAACATGAAGTTAATAAGGCCAAAATCAAAAGTATAATCTCTAAGCAGATTAGTTAAGAGTTCCACAGGGAGAAACTAGTCCAGGTCACAAATTCTTATTTCTGAATAATTTTCCTGAAAAATATCACCAGTATCACAAGGGGGCAAATAATGCAACTCATCCCTTGTTAAAGAAAATAATCCAAAGAAAGGTCCAGGTTCCCTAGCTACAAGGCACAAGTCCAGACTGTATGGGGCCTGAAGCATGTAAAATGTGGCCTCCTTAATTAGATGCATAATTAGGTATGAAAATAATGAGAAAAGAAATCACAAATAATTTCAAACTTTTAAAAGTTGATGGATATCACAAACATCACAATATCCAGGAAAAATATTACTAGTATTTTTATTAATTAACTGCCTGATACACCTCTATAAAAATTCTTCCTACATTAATAACCTATTCACATGACAATTTTATTTTCAATAGAGAGAACAGAAACCAAAATTTACCTTTCCTCTTTTATAGCTATGAAAATTACATTTCTTATCAGTTTAGTAAAGTTTCTTTCTGCTTTACAACTCATTGGTAAACAGCACATCTACAAGTTCCTCCCACATTTTTGTCTAGGAGGTGGTCCTGGCCTGGGGACAAGTCCTGGAAGAACTACAGTCCTTTGTTCTTCCCGGGTGAGCACACAGAACATCTGGCTGTTTCAGCAGCCAATTCAGCTCAGCCAGGTCCTCAACATCCAACCAGACCATGAAAGGTGCTTAAGTTGTAGTGGCTTCTGAGCAGGGCAGAATAGTGTTTCCTTTGGATCCTTTTCCTTGGATCTAGGCATCCAATGAGATCCCCCAAGAACAAACTCTTATTGGGGCTACATGGATATGAAGGTAAAGCACAGGTTCTAAACCTAAGCACAGAACGAGTTAAAAGAGCTTCAGCAGATAACCAGCTGCCTAGTTGGGTTTTCTACTTTTAGAAAGTTGCTCCTGGATTTCTGTTGTTATATTCCAACTGTCTAGTAGATTATCTATTATTTCAAAATGGAATATCTGATACTGTCTGTCCAGATTACAATCTGTTGCCTAATTCTCTAATGCCAATCAAAAATGGGTTTTCTTGTAGCACCTGCAGCTGAAACTGCCTCCAAGGACCATCTCAAATCACTGAATGGCCTAGTTAATAAGCCCTGGTCCTAAAGAAAGTAACTAATTGGTTCTGAGGAAATTAGCATGATCAAAACTAATTTTAAAAAATACAAACTTTTGATGTATTTATTAACTATTAAAAGTTTCTCCCCCCCAAAAAAAAAAAACAAAAAATAAAAAAATAAAAGTTTCTCCCCTTTAAAAAATATGGTATCTCTAATAAAAGTGAAGATAATATTAAATTTACAGGATTGCTGTAAGGATTATTAAAATAACATATCAAAAGCACTAAACAAGACTGATACATGATATATATTTGATGTTGTTTTTCCAATACTTTGTTCCCAATATTAGTTCCTTCAGTAGTTACTAGTTACTCAATACTAAAATCCAACCTAACCAATAATCCATATCCTTTTCCTATCTATTTTTATTATTTAAGGATTAAACTTAGATCCTTATGGCAATGATCCAGAAGATGGTCCTCTTCATTTCCTGTGTACCTGCCATTGTTTATGCATATGCATTTTGATCATCTTTCTTTCTTATTCTGTTCTGTTTACCATGGAGCTGACTGTCTTACTAGGGGGTAAAATTGACTATTCTATTTGGTTGTCAATTTCTAAGTATATCCAACACTAAAAGACAATTATTCCTGACTCTTCACCTATTATCAATTAGATTATTAATGATTCATAGCAGGGTGATAAATATTGGCAGAAATTTCATTATAAAATGAAGAATTCTTTGGAAACATACTGACAAATTACCTATTTTTAAAGTTTTATATACCATTTTTAAACTTCCTTTATAAAAACATAGCTTATACTGCTATGGCTAGTTACTATTAAGTATAAAAACTTCCTAAATGTAATTTTGTCTGAGAAAGGAAGAAGAGAAGGAGGAGAGGGAATGAAGGAGATAAAAGGTGGGGAAGGAGAAAGTATAGAAAAAAGAAATCTTAAGTAAACTCACCTCCAATGACTTTTGCTTCTTTCAGTATTTGATTGAATAGACTTAGACACAGAATCTTGACTTCTCAGAGGATGAGAAACTGAATGTGGTATTTCCCTTTCAAAGAAACATGTCTTATTAAATATTATTAGTTTGTTTCCAAACTAAGAAATGTGAAATATACACTGAAGAATAACATCAGTCAGTAACAGATACATAAAGTCACTGGTACACATTTTTCCACCTACCCTGTGTTCATTGTTTTCATTAAAGGAGGCAACTCTGGATTCACAGCTTCCCAGGCCCAATCTCAAAAGATACAAGTAACAAAGATAAAAAGTAAGATAGGTACCTTTTAAAAAAATAATTATTTCATACGTATTTAATTGGTGGGAAACTAAAAGTTTGAAGAAAAGGTCTTGAAAATATGGATGTGTTCAACAGTACTTTGTTGTGGAATCTGTCACAACCTACCTTATTAATTTTTATAGGTGTCTTTCTTCCCCATTGTATTTTAAGCAAAATTAATAGTTTGTATCTTTTCCACGATCAATTCTAGTGCAGTATCTTGTACTTTGTAGTATAAATTCATTGTAATCAATGTTTCTTAAATTTTTTTGACCCCAACCCACGGCAAAAAATAATTCATAAAAAAAAACATCATAGCCCAGCACATATGCGCGCATATATATATATATATATATATATATATATGACAAAGGAGTGATGTGTGATGCACTCTGTGTGTGATGCACTCTGTATTTTCTATTCTCCTATTTCTTTCTTTAAAGAAGCAGAGCCATATATTAGTAAGTTTTTTGAAAGCAGAGACCATATCTATTACAGACATAAATGTTTCCTGACCAGACTAATGGATCAAGATAAAACTTGAAAAACACTGATCTAGCCTTATCTCTTACCCAATGTAAGACTCTTACTACATCTCTGACAGATAGTAATCCTGCTCAGAACTTGGACAGTTCAGTACTTCAGGAGGATGAACATTTCCCTATGGAGTAGCTTCAAATGTTATTTTTCTAGGACAACATTCATGCTATTCACAAAAACATTTTTTTTGTTAAATTTTTTTTTAAGATTTTATTTATTCATGAGAGACAGAGAGAGAGAGGCAGAGACACAGTCAGAGGGAGAAGCAGGCTCCATGCACCGGGAGCCAGACGTGGGATTCGATCCCGGGTCTCCAGGATCACGCCCTGGGCCAAAGGCAGGTGCTAAACCGCTGCGCCACCCAGGGATCCCCACAAAAACATTTTAAATGTCAGAGAATTTTTTAGATGGCATAGGATAACTAGATAAATGCCCATTTATGCATATCCATGTGAATTTTTATGTTTTATCCATAAAAATGAAAATAATCTTTTATCCATAAAAATGAAAATATAAAATTCCTACTATGAATTCCTCAAATGTAGAAGAAAAGAAAAGAATCATAGCTTTACAAGCAGACTAAGGCCTATGGCTGCATGCTGGATGGAATTAACATATGTATATCTCAAATATATATATTTTATTAACATATATATCAAATACATATCAAATACATATTTGTTAAGTATATATAAAAGTATAACATATAATATATAGAGAAAGAGAGATTGATTTTAAAATTCTAGTTGCAAAAGATCCTATGAAAGATTTTTAAAGTATGCTCAAAAACCTATAAATGTATATAACCAGCATATATTAAGTATATTTCAGAAAGCCTGCCTGTCCATGCCTTGTTCTGAAGAGAAATAAAAGGTCAGCAGATAATAAGACCTCTCAGCACCCACCACCACAGCTAATTGTTGCAGAGATGAGAGGCCTAATAATAAAGCTAAACTAGAATTTTAATGACCTTAACTGAACCAAAGCTATGTCTAAAATTTAATCAAAAGATATAGAAGGCAATCAACAGTGGACTCTGAGAACTAGAACTCAAAGGCTATGTTGACTCCCAGCAAGGACATGGGCTAGTTGAAGCTATAAGGAAGCCAACTCGATGAGAGAAATGAAGCAACAAATGAAGAAAGGCAAACATATTATCAGAAGAGAAAAAGGCCAAGCAGTAAAAATTTCAGGTTTCTATCCTTCCTAAGGTCTAAATTTTCTCTCATTTTTCCTGTGTTCACATGCACCTATATCCCAATTCCTGAGGTAACTAACCCATTCTTTATCACCACATGCCTAAGTCACAATATCCATATAACTTGGAAAAGAAAAAACAAATCTTTACAATGTGAGCTACAACTTCATTAGAACAAAGTCTCCAGATCTAAGATACTCCATTTAAATGCGAAGCCACCCTTGTAGACAAGGAAACTCAAACTACTGTACTGGAATGTTCAGAAAGAGCCAAGTAATCCCTATATTTGGATAGGGGAAAGAAGAAAAAAAAAACCTTTCTATTTCCGTTATAATAAAATAAAAATGGTAATTTTCTACATTCCTAATTCTTATTTTCTGAAAATTTTCACCTTATTTTCTTACCTGGTGGTAGAGGAGGGAAATCATAACTGTCGGAAGCAGTACTGACACTTGGATCATTTGTAAGTGGATTGGAAGTTAATGGCTGTCTATTCCTCTTCTTCTGATTGAACAATGGTACAGGCAAACAGCCTAAATTCAATGTACCAATAAATTAGTACATAATAGGCAAATAATCAGGTCTAGTTATAGGATAACTGAGTATAACAACTACTTTGTCTACTTCTATGTGTTATTTTATATTTATTACAGATTTATTTCTACATCTTTGAATTGGTTTTTACATTCTTTTTAAGGTCCCAAATAACCTCATTTGTCTCTATAACAACTCCTTTCCTGTTCTACATTAACACTGGTTTAATTTATCTTGTTTGGAAGTAATTCCCATTTCCTTCCTCACCCCTCAACCCTTTCCAAATCCACTTTTTGTTTTCCTTATTTTTCTTCTGCGCTTGCTTATTACCATGTCAACTGGAGGGGACCCTGCAAGTACAATAGAGGTGAAGGAGAACCAAACTCTAACCCATGCTTTCTAAAACACTAGGCACTCTTTGGACTATGAGAGCACACCCTTTAAGGCCATGGTTCTCCATCTTTAGTTTGACTAAGATTTACGTGGAATTGTGCTTAATATGCCAGTTCCTAGACCTCGTTCTCATATATTTTATTCAACAGATTTAGTTTAGAACCTAAAATTCTGGGCAACCCAGGTAGCTCGACGGTTTAGTACCGCCTTCAGCACAGGGTGTGATTCTGGAGACCAGGGATCGAGTCCCACGTTGGGCTCCCTGCATGGAGCCTGCTTCTTCTCCCTCTGCCTGTGTCTCTGCCTCTCTCTGTGTGTGTCTCTCATGAATAAAAAAAATAAAACAACAACAACAACAAAAAAAAAACCCTAAAACTGCAATTTTAGCATGCACTCCAGGTATCTGTAATGCATATTTTCTGTGGATCATTTTGAGAATGCTTCAAGTGGTAATACTCACTCCACATGAGCATAAATAAATATTACTTCCAGGCCCTCCAGATGGGAGGCCTGAGATCTCAGGTCAAGCAAAAGAAGGGATCTCAGATCTCAGACCAAAAAAAGGGGTCCGAATAGCTTGCACGGTGCCTAGATAGGACCCAAGCTTCCTAAATCTCAGTTCAGAGATCTTGCCACTCGATCATACTCTAGTTGGTCCATCAAATTGTACTATGGGAAAATATAGACTCTGTGATAACTGTCTGAGAAAAGGCTGGGAAAATTATGTGAGCTCTGAAATCAGACTGCCTGGGTTTGAATCACAACTTCAAAGTATAAACTTGAGCAATTTCCTTAAGTCATTGTGCTAATATGACATAACAGAGAAGCAGTCTAATCTGGTGATTAAGAGCATGGATGCTAGAGCCAGATTCCCAGGTTCAAATGCTGGCCCTGCCACTTCATAATTTATTTAACCTCCCTGTGCCTCAGTTTCTCATCCAGGAAACAGGGATGATAATAGTAATGCCTATCTCAGAGGACTGGTGTGAGGATTAAATAAATTAATACATATAATTAAATGGATAGAATACAATACAGCCACCATAAATAATAGCTATTCCTGTCTTCACTGTGCATTATCATCAGTCCCCTGGTTCTCTTCATTCTACTAACTAATAAATTGGGTAAGCAGAAATGGCAGGGTAAGTTGTTAGGGAGATAGAAATGCTTCTGGAAATATTTTAAATAAGTCACAAATACAAATAGAAATAAATCTATTTCTTTGTTTTCAGCTTAAAAGTGAAAAACAACTCAAGTACATAGGGTTTCTAGAAAGAATACTAGGGTAAACCCAGGAATATTTCATTTTACTCCCACCTCTATCACAGGTTTTGTCTAAGTTATTTTAGTTCTTTGGACCTAAAAAGTAAAGAGGCTAGACTGTATGTTTAAACTTTTTAAAAGGTTCCTTCCAAAATGTTCCATCTATAAACTACACAAGGTTTACATGGTATATAAAAATATAGAAAAACTAAAATAAAAATGTAATAAATATTATAGAATAAAATGAATACCTGCTGTACTTCGAGTTGAACTTTCACTTGGGTTTCTCTTCATTTTCTTCAATACCAAAATCTGAAACTTTTCTTTAGCAATCCAAATTTACAAATGAAGCTGACAAAACCTTCAAAGAAAGAAATTTGTAACTCCTATGGTATCCACAAAAAATCAAGTTCCCAGCCTAGTAATTCACCGAAATTATGATTTAACACTCTGGTGTTATGCTATATGTTGGCAAATTGAACTCCGATTAAAAAAAAATTAAAAAAAAACACACACACACACACCACTCTGGTTTCAAATCTAATAAGGGAAATACTTTACAGAATCTTTTGCTTCCTGAAATAAGAACTTATCATCTATTTCTCCAACTTTGTTAGGAATGGATTAGGACTGGGGTGGCTAAAACCTGGCTTCCTAAACATACGCGGATTCTCACGCAGTCTACATCATGTATCTCAGGACCAAGCACCCACAATGAGACAGTTCTGAACCAGAATTACAAAGAAGGGAATGGACTACAACACGGGCAAAGCAGTGTGCTTACAAGGCTGGGGAGGAAACATAAACAGCTGAACTAGCCCTGTGAGAACACGCTCTATCTCACCTCAGAACACTGGGCAGGTCACCTCCTTTGGCCATTAATTTGAGATCCCTGTATTATACAATACCAAAGACAAAGGCCTCAATACCCAGAATAATTGTAACGGCAAGTTTCTGCGGTCTTTATAACTTCAACATGTGAAAACAAGTTTTCTTCTACAACAAAATTCGTTGTAGTTTTTTCCATGTTTAGCCTCCTAACATATTTCAATCCCAATCCAACAAACACCTATCACATGAAAAGGCAAAATACGAACCTCGATAAGTTATTTCTGCTCCTACATTCACCATCCAAGGAGGAAAACAGGCATGAACACAATTTAGTAACAACGTAAATCACACTGAGGTAAACCTTAATTTCCAAACGTCACTTCATAGAAATAAAACTTGGGAAACCCCAGGGCAGGGGCTGCCTCTGCTTTGTTTTCACATCTTGGGCTTGAAGCCGGATACAGATCCAGGCCTTTAGGAAATATTCTTGAAGTCATTCTGGGGAGCAAGGCAGGTTCTGGATTTTTTTCCTGGGCACAGAAATACCAAGCGAACTCACACTCCGCACCAGAGAGGGGCTTGCAAGGGCTCTTGGGCTTCTGAGTACCACACAAACATCAACAATGGGCGACGCCCTCCCCGACCATGGGCTCTGGGACCCCGAGATGCCCGAGCCCAGCTTCTGACTGGGCCCCAACGGCAGGAATGCGGTTGGCAGCGGCGACGTGCAAGAAGTCTGTTCGACGTCTACACGCGGCTACAACGCGCACACACCCCACCCAAAGACCCCAACCGGAGCCCGGGGGGGGGGCCTACTGTGGCGCCTCCTGGGCCGTCCAGTCAGAAAAGTGTTCTCTTCCAACGACCTGTCCTGACCCAGGGGCTGGGGCAGTTTGGGAACTAGGGACAAACCTGCCTTCCCCTTCTGGGCCCTCCGGCCAACAGGACCCGCAGCCTCAACCTGCAGGTTTCTACGCCTCCAATAACCGTTGCTCGGTCGCGAACACACTCCAGTCAGCTGCCCGCCGACGTCCCGGCCTCCGAAGAAGCGCGAGAAGTGGAGCTTTGCGCAGGCGCGCCGCTACCCGCGCCTCCAACTGCGCAGGCGCAGGGGCCACCTGGCACAATGGCGCCGCCCTGTCTGTGGAGGATGAGAAAGACACAGGCCCCCCACTCTCGGGAACGAGAACGTTAGCGCACCTGCCCCTCCCCGTTCGCACGTGTGAGGTCCTCGGCGCAGGAAAGGCCCTAGGGACAGACCTGTTCGCCGCTGTACTGTACCCGGGCCTGGTCGCCCAACACTCCGCGCACACACGTTTTTATAGGTTCTAGACATCCGTTTTTAAGACGCTGGGAGTTCGCCCAGAAAAGAATAACTCAAAGGCCTCAAAACCAGGTCATAGGGTTTGCTTGACCTTGCTTGAGCAGGGCGTGGAATTAAAGTCGCTTGGAGTCCGGTGGGAGAGCTGAGGCCTGGGTTAAGGGGACGGCCTGCCAATCCGCCAACCCGAGAGCAGTCAGGAAGGCTGGGCCTGCGCGGCGCGCGGCGCGGTGGGGAGAACCGGCACGGAGACCCGAGAGAGCAAGCAGCACGGTGCAGGGACCCTGGGGCTCCTCCACGCCCCCACATCCCCCCACCCCGGCAGATGGTCACTTCCCGGCCCCCTGCTCTTGGCTAGTTATTTACCTCCTCTAATCCTGTATCTCCCTTCTCAGTAAAACAGCAATAACTAACCAAAACCGCCCTCAAAGTGTTAGGAGTATTAAGAGTCCTGGCACACAGTAAATGTCCAAGAAATGTTAACCCTTTTTAAGTTAAACAGCAGCTGCTATCTTCTGAATACTTACTATAGGCCAGAAATGGTCATCTTAGCTCTGTCTGGAGTCAAAGATCATGTTTTGTTGTTACTATAACTTTTGACCATTTGAAGACTGCGGTGGGTGAATGAAAACGTGCAGAGGGTCTAGAGATGAAAGGAAGGTTGTCTGCACAGGCCTTGGACTCTGAAACCGTGAGGCATGTTGGTACAGTTGACCCTTTAACAACACAGGTTTGAACTGGGCAGGTCCAGTTATACATGGATTTTTTAGAGTACAGCACAGCACATGCCTTTTCTCTCTCACAATTTTCTTTTTTTCTTTTTTTTTAAGAGAAATAGAAAAATAAGGGAATTTTTTTGTTTTTATAGATTGTTTGATTTAATTTTTTAATTGGAGTTCAATTTGCCAACATATAGCATAACACCCAGTGCTCATCCCATCAAGTGCCCCCCTCAGTGCCTGTCACCCAGTCACCCCCACCCCCTTTTCCAACACCCCTTGTTCCTTTCCCAGAGTTAGGAGTCTCTCATGTTCTGTCTCCCTCCCTGATATTTCCCACTCATTTTCTCTCCTTTCCCCTTTATTCCCTTTCACTATTTTTTATATTCCCCAAATGAATTTTCTTAATGACATTTTTTCCCTCAGCTTACTATTTATTATACAAAATATGTATATGTATATATTACCTTACCACTGGTAAGGCTTCTAGTGAACAGCAGTCTGTTAGTAATTTAAGTTGTTGGGGGAGTCAAAAGGTATACAAGGATTTTCAAGTGCTTGGAGGTCAGCACTCCTAACCCTTGCCTTGTTGGAGGGTCAACTTTTGTAAGATTAGGTCAATGGAGAGGGGTGGAGGGATGGGGTAACTTGGTGATGAACACCAAGGAGGGGATGAGATGTAATGAGCACTGGTTTTATAGAAGACTGATGAATCACTGAACTCTACTTCTAAAACCAGTAAGATAGTATATGTTAATTAATTGAATTTAAATAAAAATGTTTTTAAATAATGAGATTAGGTCAAAAGAAGGCGAATGAGGGGCACCTTGGTGTTTCAGGTGGTTAAGCATTGGTCTCTTGATTGCAGCTCAGGTCATGATCTCAGGGTTGTGAAATCAAGCCCCATATCAGATTCCCAGCTGGGTGTGGAGCCTGCTTAAGATTCTCTATCTCCTTCTCCCTCTGCCCCACCATCCTCTCTTAAAAAAAAAAAAAAGCAGAAGGAGAATGAGTATGAATGCCAAACTAAGGAATAAAGTTGAAGGAAGTGTGTGTGTCTTCATTTAATTTGGAAAAGAAAAGATTTCACATAAAATTTCTGAAAAGACTTGTTAGTTGTCATGATTCCAAAGAGGAGATTTTTTTAAAAAATGAGTAAAAGCTTTAGGGAAGCAGGTTTTGACCTGATATATACATATACATGCATAGCCCACACACCCACACACCCCCAAAACGGATTTCTCATTTAAAAGAAAATACTTTAAACCCGCTATGAGCAGCATGCTGGGCCACATCCGTCAGGACTATAGGCATGAGCAATGTGGAATCTTTACTAAGAGTGTATAAACTTCTCTGTTTTAGCCCCTATCTTGCTCTGGTTGCATTTATTTATTTTCATCTGAAAAGTTGATCAGGATGGATGACAGCAAGAGAGCCACAGAAGATGGAAAAAGTTTAAATAGAGTAGTTTGATTACATGACTGCTGGACAATTGCATTATGTATGAGACACTTTATATGTGATATTGGAGAGAAGATCCTCCCTCTCCCCCAGTCATACCATTTTGTAAATGAAATCTTAAACGTGTCTCCCACAAAACTTTTTGTATAAATTTATTGGATGACCAAGACTATGAAAAAATTATTCTCCCTGTGTTTTATATTACATTATTTTACTAATAAATCAGCCACCACCTTCCCTACAAAGCATTTGTATTGCTAGAAATTATTAGGCTTATTCTTTTAAATACTTAGTACATTAAATACTCAACCTAATAGTGAAATGGTGATAACTAGAAAGGGTTCCACTTTGTATGCTATCAGTTCTTTGAATTCTCAAAAAATAATTAGACTAATAAAAATTTGTAGATTTTGTAGGACTAAAAAATTTAGTGAGCTTTGGGAAACAGGGAGTTAAAAATCTTTCGGAAGTTAACTTGGTATAAGAGTATGAAAAGCCTCTGGTGCTCTAGTTCTAAGGAAATGCTCTCCTTTTTTTCTAATAAAGCTTTCCGCAGAAGACAAACTGTACACAATAAACAAGGTAAGTATAGGACAGAATTACTGCAATTAATTAACTCTCAACAAAGTTGTTCATTTTGACATGTAAGGGAAACTTTATTTATGAATGTTAAATGTGCTTCAAAGTGCTGATCTGTTAAAATTCCATAAAACAAGCCATGAAATGCAGGTCATTTGTGCCAGTTACGAGTAAATAGCCAAGGCAGCATTTCCAGAGAGACTGGGGCAAAGGACAGAACTAAATACAATCAGCAGAAGAGAAACAAAACATTATCAAGTGTTAATAATTCACCATAGTTACAACTCTTAAAACCAAAGTAAACAATACAACTATCATTTGTTTATATGTAGGCTTGTTTTCAGCATCTCTACCCTGAAGTGTTCGGTGTACTTTGATGTCGATAGAAAGTCAAAGGCTACAGGGGCTTTTTCTTAGGTTAGAATAGTAATTTTAATGTGTAAATTTGGATTTCATTACGTTGTTTGCTCCTTCTCTGCATTATAATCTCTTAAAGGAGTAATATAAGGATTAGTTTATTAAATATAATGAAATATTCACATTTTGTATTCTCCAGCATGTGTTTTGTTTGTGTGCTTGTTTGTCTCCTGAGCACACTGTAGTAACTGTTTATGTGAATTCCAGAAGAGAAAAATTAGAACTTTGGGGAAGTCCAAAAATAACAGGAAGCATCCTGTTATGTAGAAAACACTGGGCTTAGAATCAGAAAACTTGGGTCCCAGGCCCAGATTTCTCCTGGTAGCTGAGAGGCTTTTCTCTTAGCACTACAATGGGAATGTCAATACCCAACTACCCTATCTTAGAAAGTGAATATATGAAGAAACTGAGATAACATGTGGGAAATGTAGTTAAAAATGAAACTTCTCTGTGGTTGTAATGTATTATTCCTGTTGTACCCCTATCAGACAATCCGGCATTACTAGTACATAGTATTTCCAGTACCTGAACGTATTTGACTTTCTGGATGGTTGAGCATGAAATCAAATCCAATTTAGCTGAGTCATTTCTCCAAAGGGATGTAATCATCTTAGTATTCTGGATAGTTCCCCTAATAAAACCCCCTACTGAGTAACATATCCCAGTGAAGAGTCTGCTCTGCCAGTAAATTAGACTGCGTATTATAATAAACTCATAATTTGATTAGTATATACAGCATCCCCCAAGACATTTTCAGGTATTACACAGGCCTGAAAATTACTCCCTGCTGCTTTTCCTTTAGTATTAAGGCAAACAGTGAGGAAGAATCCTAAAGAAATTGACAGAATTACCACAAACTTTATCAGAAACAAATTAAAGCATATTTCAAAGTAGATTTCTAGGCCCTTGGGATCATTTATTTGGTTCTTGTATCTCTGACCATGAAAAGTCATACTGAAAGAAACAATGCTGCTTCCACAGGAGGCCCTTAAGACCTGCCTTTGGCTGTTTTATGGAGGTGAGATTCAAATGCCCTCAGATATGAAAAGGATCTGAACTCATTTCAGAGAAGAAATATTTTTAAATGTGAGTGGAAACATAAATACCAAATAATAGCATGCATGTTATGAGCCACTTCTTTATTTTTATATATTTTTTAAACTTTTTAATTTTTGAGGATTAGAAAGGTATAAACTATTTTTACTATTACAAGTGGTCATAGAAGCACCAGTAGGGGACATTCTAGCTGAAAGGAAAACAGAATTTTTGTATTAGTATGAGATGCTAATTTATTATTGCATTTAGATCTACTGACCATGTGAGGGAGTAAGAAGTTAAACAACTGTAGCTAGTTCATCTCTGCATATTTTAATCCAAATATGGTAAAGGGCAGGGCTAAAGAAGGGAGTGTCCCTATAATAAACAGGGCTCAGAACTTGTGATAGAATATTAAATTATTCTCCACTCAAGAGAACTCTGCACTTTGCACTTTGGTTAAAGTCTCATTTGGATTTAAATTTCTAAACTTTTCTTAAGAAATTAAGTTTTATTTGATCTCTTTTCTGAATTGCAGAAATCAGATAAAACTACTTGATAAAAATGACTTCTTATCATGTTACTGAAGATCCTATTAAAAAGGTTGCTATCTTTGGAGGAACTCATGGGAATGAATTAACAGGAGTATTTCTAGTTAAGCACTGGCTGGAGAATGACACTGAGATTCAGAGAACAGGGCTGGAGGTAAAACCATTTATTACCAACCCAAGAGCAGTGAAGAAGTGTACCAGATATATTGACTGTGACCTGAATCGAGTTTTTGATCCTGAAAATCTTGGGTAAGGCTACATTTTGTGTTGTATGCATAGGTGCATGTATGGGTATGTGTGTGAAAAGTGGTATATGTGAATGAGAACATGTATGGGTAGCACATGATATACATGCGCATACAAATAATCACTGTTGTGAATAAGATCACTTTCACTTTTAATCATACTCCGCTATGAATTACTCAGCTATGTAAACTGGGCATTCACATGCTCTTTTACAAACTTTTCACAACGTAAGACTATTCTTAACTGATTTTCTTTTTGAATGCATTCTGTATAGACGGAGACAATAAATAATAATGGCTTTTATTTTTAAACCGTATCTTTAAAGAAACAGATCAAATAGTCTTTTGTAATTTATTAGTGTTTTGCCACTATCCTTGCATACATATTTGTTAGCTTTCTAGGTGGTTGACTGCTATTTTTTCATGCAACTAAGACACTTTACCTGCAGTTTCTGAACTTAAATTGCATCTGGTTTATAATACGTTGCACACAATGTATGCAATAGTAATACTCTAGGTATTATTCATAACACAGTATAAATAATATTATTTCCCCTTTGCTTGCATCTTTATAGCTCTTAGTGTAGATATATAGGGCTGTTAGTATTTTCTTTCTACCACTTTCTTTTATTTACCTAAAAATATTATTAAACACCTACTCTTCATGGGGCACTGTGCCAGGTACCATGGGAGTACAAGGCTATGTACAAAATGGTTTCTGCCTACAACAAGTTGGAAGACAACCAAGGTAGAAGATGTGCAAAGGAGCAACTAACACAGCACTGATTTAAGTACCCATTTTCTAATAAACACTTCAGTTTAGAGTTTCTTAAATTTAATCTCACAGCTGATGAAAATATGGTTACTACTTTTAGTACAAATATGCCTCACTTTATGAAATAGAGGTTTTCTAGAGAAAAGTATACATTAGTTATGTTTTGTGAAACAAATATTTTTACTAGCATACATTTAAATTTCAGGAATGCTTTATCTTCATGACTGAGGTATGTCGATACAATTAAGGTTTATCTGGTCACCTAAAATAGGTTTTAACTAGCTCTTATACTACAAAAATTTGTTGAAGAATAACTCATTTAGTTAGCATGTTAACTTCTCAAATAATTCTGAAATGGACTGGGGTGAGTTTTCTTACTATAACCACTCAATAGTATGCATTTTCTTTCTCTCTTTTTTTTTTTTGGTAAGATTTTATTTATTTGAGAGAGAAAGAAAGAAAGAAAGAAAGAAAGAAAGAAAGAAAGAAAGAAAGAAAGAAAGAAAGAAAGAAAGAGTACAAGCAGGGTGAGGAGCAGAGGGAGAAGCAGACTCCCTGCCAAGCAGGGAGCCCAATGCAGGGCTCCATCCTGGGACTCTGGGATCATGACCTGAGCCAATGGCAGGTGCTTCACTGACTGAGCCACCCAGATGCCCCAATAGTATGCATTTTCAGTGAGAGCAGTCTTTTAAATTAAATTCACTTTCTAGTTCTTATACTTCAACACTATTCAGAGGCTAGACAGTTCTCTCTCAGAGTGATTCTGAAAGTTACAGAATAGATAAGTTAATTCCCTTCTCTTGTCTTCCCTCTCTCAAATTTGCTCCTTTCCCTATATTCACCATCTCAGTGATGTCACCAGTACCCATCAAATCCCCCATGGAAATCAACTTGAAACCTTCCCCGTTCCTCAAGCCCCGTGTCTAGTAAGTTACCAAATCTTCCCATTTATTCAAGTATTGAATATTTTGCAAATCCAATCTTCCTCTTCATTTTAACTTCCTTAGTTTATTTCTTCTGTGGACAGTTAGAGTAGCCTCCTAAAGAATCTCTGTATCTCGCCTTACTCCAATCCTTCCTGCCATTGACTCTCGTAGCAGAGAGATCATCCTAACCAGACAGATCTTATCATGCCTGTCCCCAGTTGAAAATTCTTAAAAATCTACTATCCAGCATAGATTTAAGTAACTTGGTATTGCTGTTATGCCTTTTAGGATCCTGCCCCTACCTATTGCTTCAGCTTCATCTCTTGGGACTCCCCCTATGAAACCCCAGGCAGGAGAATGCAGTGTCCATTATCTTTCAAGACTCTAAGCCTTAGCTCTAAGCAACTGGGCGGCTAGTGATGCCATTTATTCACACAAGGAAGAATTAGAAGCAAATCAATTGAAGGTAGAGTAATCTAGTACAGTTTTTCATGAATTAACTTTTAAAATTCATATCTAGGTGTACTTGGGTGGCTCAGTTGGTTGGGTGGCTGAGTCTTGATTTGGCTTAAGTCATCTCAGGGTCCTGGGATTGAGCCCCACATTGGGGTCCATGCTCAGCAGGGAGCCTGCTTGAGACTCTCTTTCCCTCTCCCTCAGCCCCTCCCTCCCCTCTAAAATAAATAAATAAATCTTAAAAACATTAAAATGCATATCTATCCATTAGGAACTATGTTTGGTTGCGTATAATAAAACCTGAAAACAGTGGCTTAAATAAATGTTTTCTTTTCTTTTTTTTACAAATAAATGCACAGGTTGGAAGTCCAGGGCTGGTTGCAGTGGTTCAATAATATCATTAGTATCACAGGTCTCTTCTATCTTCCCACTGCACAATCCTTGTATGTAGCCTTTGTCCTCATAGTTTTGCTTTACAGTCAAAAATGGCTGTTCCACCTTCTTGATTGCATTTCAGTCAGGAATTACCCAGGTTCAAACTGTAGGGCCCTTGAAGATACTAGCAAAAATGAGAAACAGAAAGAGATGGAATTACAGAGAATTTAATCCTTGTTTAATGAGGAAAAATAAACTTAAATCATCATCATGTACAGTAAGAAAAAGTATATCCTAAAGATTAAGGGGAGGTAGAGACTTATTTGAGAATTCGATAAAAACTTATCCCAGGAAAAGAATATATATGCATATGCCTGCAAATTTCTGCATTTTCTTAGAGTTTACAGACTTTGTAAAGTTTGCCCTGGGCCACTAGTAGTCCCTGACCTCGGTTAGAATCCCTAATTAGATAACATGATCACCTAAGCTTGACTATTTTTGTGCAGTAGAAAATTAGCTACAGGACAAAAAAAAATTATGTGTGTGCTTGATAGTCTAGCCCTATAAAATAGCCCAATACACATAACATTTTAAAAATTATTGATTAAGTTAATGAATGAATTTTGTTCAACATTGAAGTCGAATGGCAAATTCTACTTGAAATGCCCTTTCTGGGATCAGCCACATAAATGAACTATTGTTGTGAGCATACCAATGCACCATTACATAAAATCACATGGAGAAAAAAAAGGAATTTTTTTTTAATTTTTATTTATTTATGATAGGCACACAGTGAGAGAGAGAGAGGGAGAGACACAGGCAGAGGGAGAAGCAGGCTCCATGCACCGGGAGCCTGACGTGGGATTCGATCCCGGGTCTCCAGGATCGCGCCCTGGGCCAAAGGCAGGCGCTAAACCGCTGCGCCACCCAGGGATCCCAAAAAAGGAATTTTTTATTTATGAAGTTTTCAAATAAGTTTCTACTTCCCTTACAGATTTTTTATATTAAAGTTTTGGCAACTGGCTCCTGATACACTGTGTTCTTATTGTATATTTATGTTATCTTAGCCGCAGATGTTGTTAATCTTCTTCTTTCTCCTAATAACAGCAAAAAGGTGTCAAAGGATTTACCATATGAAGTGAGAAGGGCTCAAGAAATAAATCATTTATTTGGCCCAAAAGACAATGAAGATTCCTATGACATCATTTTTGACCTTCACAACACTACTTCTAACATGGGGTGCACTCTTATTCTTGAAGATTCCAGGAATGACCTTTTAATTCAAATGTTTCATTACATTAAGGTAATGTTAATGTTATTAATTTATAAGTTAGCATAGTTCCTGTACTTTTTAGTCAATTATAAGATGCTGAACAACCAGAAAAGGGTCAGAAGAAGGGGTCCAGGAGAGATGAGGGAGTAGGAGGGGCACCAGAATAAAGGCAGTGTTGACAGGCAGAAACAAAGGTGAGGAAATGAGTAAAATAATACATAGAATAAATAAAATAACAAGAAAGTTGTGGATACTTGAGTCTATAAAATTATAAATCTTTTATCCAGATAGCCACCAAATCATAGGCTATTTGGTAAAATTAATACCAACATTTAAAATGGTGTGGTTGAAGTAGCTCAATTCTAGTTCTAGGAAGCTCAAGAAATAGTCACTTACTGTTGACTAAAGGCCAGTGATAGAAAGAGTGGCTCTTTTTAGTTCTACCCTTGTCTGCATTTGATCCTGATACCCCAACACACATCTGTTCTTCCAGTACTTCGTAAAGCTAACCATTTTAAGGCTCAGAAATTTACAAGATGAAAAATCCAGCAATCCTATAGCTAGCAAAAAAATGCTAGAAAAAATAAGAACCAAGGAAAACCACAGATAATGAAATATATGTCTATTTCTATGTAATGGATTCTCTTCTTTCCAGAGGACTAGTCTAGTTTAGTGAAAAGAGTTTGATCCATGTAGCCAGGAGAATTTAGGCTTATAATCCTTGCTTTCTCATTCACTAACCTTGAACAAGACACCCCACTCCAAAACCTTGCCTTCCTTGTTGTATAAAATGGGCATTATAGCAACACTTACCCATATGGCTGTTAAAAGCCTTAAATAAGATTAAGTATTTAAAGCATTTAGCCTCACACCTAGCAGAGAGTAAAAAATTATCATTATTTCTGTTTCCCTTGAGTTCTGGTGGGAGTAGTAGTTCTGGTGGGAGCTCATAATGCAGCAACTCTTTGTTGCTCATTAAAGGAAGAATCGAATGCTCCAGTTGCCAGGCATAGAAGCAGCATGGCTGACGTTGTCACCAAAACCTGGAAGCATATCTTGAATTCTCATTCAGATAAGTGGAGATGGGGGAATTCACCTAACATCTGCACAGACCTGGACTGTAGGGGTAGAAACAAAATTCTTTATGTGACCAATATGAAGCTAAAAACTGTAACCAGTGGTGAAAACAAAAATAACCAAATCCATTCAGAAGGAAAATTTATTTCATATTCTTTGATCATGGCCCTTGAGAATTATTTAATGTACCTGCTATCAGAAAGCTATGCAGAATTCAATTTCATATGTCATTCACTACTGTGTTTTCAAAGCAATAATAATAGCATTGAATCTTAAGGTGTTTCATAAAGCTGTCTTACTAATCTTAGTTGATGTAGTAAAACATATTGAAGGCATTATTGACTCTCTAGTGACAAAGAGAACAAAGTGTATGGTCTTTACATAATAAGAAAGATGTTTTAAATTCTTTTCAGACTTCTTTGGCTCCATTACCCTGCCATGTTTATCTTATTGAGCATCCTTCCCTCAAATATGCAACCACTCGTTCTATAGCCAAGTATCCTGTTGGTAAGTCATATTTCCCATTGTCACAATTGCACAAAATACGTCCTATGTGAAACTCTGAGAAAATTATTTCTTGAAGAATATTTATAGTTACCTTGCTTATCATTATGGCTTATAATGTCAAGTAATAAGCAGACTAACTCCAGGCAGGCTCTAATTATATCAGATTTCCTCAATTTCATTGAACATCTTTCTACATTCCAGGAGAGAAATAGTGAGCTGAGGAAATTTGAATCTTTATAATGTGCAGATGTGCAGTAAACATGCCTACCTTTTGTGCCTAAAAAGAGATCATTTCTGTCTTCCAAGACTGTTCACTATACAAACACTCTTGAAAAATAAGCTGGAACCAAGGCAGTCAGTGTCTTGCTGGCAAGACATGCAGAAACACAAAAGACCCACGAAAATTTTTCTCTCAACCTTCCTCTTAGGCACCTGATTTGCAGTCACGTCTCCCACTAACTGTTTGCTATCCATTCACTTGTTTGCCCTGTCAGTTTCTAGCCTGTGAATTCACCTTTGCCTTCTAGCAACTTCCAACATGGAGGCTTGCACAGTCTCTTTTATCTATATTCCACTCTCTTCCTGAGTGACCTGCTAGCGTAATTGTTTGCAGACTATAGTATAGTAATTAAAATTGCTGTCACATCTTAAAATATTTTTGTTAGATCTCAAATGATTTTAACCAAGAGCAATTTAATTTGAAAAAAAAAGTTGTCAGGGCAGCCCGGGTGGCTCAGCGGTTTAGCGCCACCTTCAGCCCAGGGCGTGATCCTGGAGACCCGGGATCCAGTCCGGCGTCGGGCTCCCTGCTTGGAGCCTGCTTCTCCTTCTGACTGTGTCTCTGCCTCTCTCTCTCTCTCTCTCTCTCTCTCTCTCTCTCTCTCTCTCTCTGCCTTTCTCTCTGTGTCTCTCATGAATAAATAAATAAAATCTTTTTTAAAAAAAGAAAAAGAAAAGTTGTCAAACAATGTAAACAAATTTATTTTAAAAAAAAGAATTTACAGTTATCTTGGTTATTCAGTTGTTGATAATTTGGTGCAAAATCAGGGATCTCTTGGGGTAAGCTAAATATTCACACATAGGTAATTATTTGCAACAAACCAAATGCTTAGCAATAAAGAATAGAGGTCTTGTTTCTGGGACACCAAAAAAATCAAAAGATTTCTGCACTTTGAAAAGCAGTCTTGGTCTATGATATTTGTAGGGTGATGCTGCTCTTAACCAAAACAAATACCTACCGATATGTTTGGGCCTGAAAAATAGAGCAAAACCTTTCAAACATTTCAATATGAGAGAGTATTATGATCATCATAAATAATTAGAAATATTGTATGTTCTCCCTGTAACTTTGCTATTTTATTTGGAATATTTTTATACCATCCATTCATTGGGGGAAAAATACTTAACGGTCAGAGAGAAACAATCTCCAACTCAACATTTTATAATGTACCCAAAACTGTTGCCCCATACAAATTTGCTTTAGCTTCTACTAGCCTCCTACAAGGACCACCTTTGCATTCTATTGCCAAGGCAGCTGAAATGTTGCAGGATCATTCTAGATAAACTTTATTCTAGAAAGAAGCAGTTTGCTGCAGCCAGCCGCTCCTAGAATCTTCTTCATTTTCTGTCTCTGTCTCTCACGTATGCATGGGCGCACACACACATGCACACACACACACACACACACACACACACACACACACAAATGGAAGAGAAACTAGACAGAGTCTTCTACTAACTCTCCCAGATCCATCATGGCCTCATCTGAGACTCAGAAGATTTACTCTTATGACCATTACTTCTTTAGCTCCACTCAGACTATGCTGTGGCCATTTTCTACAAATTTAAACATTCTTCTCTGATACAGTATCTTGTGTCAAAGTTAATTGCTGGTTTAGAAAATATGGTGACCCTATTATATTTCACTCACAATCAGAAAGGAAAAAACCCTTTAATAACTGACTCTTCTGGGTAAGACACCCACTCTTACCCATCATATCTGCTCTCCACATAGGACTGCCCACACCACACCTTCTATCTCACAAATGGCTTAAGCAATAAGATAAATTTATTATTTTATCTGATAGCTCAACAGCATTATGAGGGGGTAGGTTCTTTTTATCTTTCTAGTCTACCATCTTTACCACCATTTTTTTTTAGCAATCCATGGCCACAAGATGCCCACCGTAATTTTAGGCATCATATGCCAACAAGACAGTATCTAGTGGGTTTAAGAAAGTTCTTAGGAACTCCCCTCACAAACCTTCTGTTGTAACCATTTGTCAGAACCAGGTCACATATCCATTCTTAAATCAATAACTAGGGTACTGGGAGTACTGTGATGACTTATATTACTCACATTTACACCTGAGCTGGGGAAAAGTGCCCTTACCTGGAAGATTGGATACCCAACCAAAATCAGGACTCTGTTAGAAAGGGGGAAGGTGGAATGGCTTTTGGATTGGCAATTAACAATGTCTTCCACAACATATCCTTGAATACATTTTTGCATGTCTGTACAAATCATTTATACACAAGTTGCATACCTCGGCCACACTTAACACTACATGCTTAAAAATATGTCGAAATGTGTATACAAGAAAACTAAGCACAACAAATAAAAAAAATGAAGATCAAATACAGAAAAGTTTTGTGAATCAAGAAATAAAAGAACTGAGTGAAAATAAAATGGACAAAAGGAATGTATATGAATACATATGAATTGAGTGAAAGAGAATGAATGATATTATACTTGGTCAATGGTTTAAAAGTAGAGAAGGTAAGGACTGGAAGGATGACTATGGGAGACTGGAACAGGAGGGGAGTGACTAAATATTTCATTTAGAGGAAGAGTATTTTGTAGATGTGAGGGTGGATTGGGTTTGGAGTGAAAAGAAATGGATACAAATCCATTCTAAGGAAAACTAACACTATTGCACTATCATGTCAGGATGGGTTGTTATGCTAAGGGCAAGATTGTTGCTCTAGGGTCACATAGATTGTCATGTTGACTTACATCCATGGCTCTAGATTTCTGTGACTTAAATGGATGACTTTCTTCCTGTCAAAACTAAGGAATAGGTCTATGACAGTTTCTCTTTGTGGCCACCAATTATTTTGTCAATATAAATTTGTCTACTCCATTTACATTCTCAATATGATGATATTTAAATATTTTGACAATATTTAAGGAAATTTAAAGAAAAATGACCCCAAAGTTTTACTACTCTAATATAATTCTTTGATATTTTTCCATGATCTCTCCCAGTCTTAATTCACTATGCTCATAACATGTACATGTAAATGTTCTGCTTTTATTTTTTGCTTAACATTGTCTCAAATATTTTCCGTGATGCTACATGGTCTACCTTTCTAATAATTTTAATGATAGGATCATAGACCTTGATATATTAAAATGCTCAACTTTAGAATATATTGTAATACTTATATAAATGTGACTATTTCCCCTCTGTACCGAGGTATAGAAGTTGGTCCCCAACCTCAAGGGGTTCTGAGAGCTGATATTTTGGATCAAATGAGAAAAATGATTAAGTATGCTCTTGATTTTATACATAATTTCAATGAAGGTAAGTAGGAGGTAGGAATTGTTTCCTTGTTAGTGTGTATGTGTATAAATAAATCAGAAAAAAGCTGGAATGAGCACACGTAGTGACTTAATCACTAAACATTGAAATAGCAATTGTCAAATTTGCCATGATCATGGTAATAGATGCTTTTTTTTTGTCTTTTTATTTTTTTTATTTATTTTTATTGGTGTTCAATTTACCAACATACAGAATAACACCCAGTGCTCATCCCATCAAGTGTCCCCCTCAGTGCCCATCACCCATTCACCCCCACCCCCAGCCCTCCTCCCCCTCCACCACCCCTAGTTCATTTCCCAGAGTTAGAAGTCTTTATGTTTTGTCTCCCTTTCTGATATTTCTCACACATTTCTTCTCCCTTCCCTTATATTCCCTTTCACTATTATTCATATTCCCCAAATGAATGAGAACATACACTGTTTGTCCTTCTCCGGTTACTGTGGCCAAGTTCAAAAAGGGTGTTGCCTGAGTTCTCCTCTGGGATTTTGATGGAATCTTGTCTCACATTTATTTATTTTTTTTCTTTTTTTTTATTATTATAAATTAATTTTTATTGGTGTTCAATTTACCAACATACAGAATAACACCCAGTGCTCATCCCGTCAAGTGTCCCCCTCTGTGCCCGTCACCCATTCACCCCCACCCCCCGCCCTCCTCCCCTTCCACCACCCCTAGTTCATTTCCCAGAGTTAGAAGTCTTTATGTTCTGTGTCCCTTTCTGATATCTCCCACACATTTCTTCTCCCTTCCCTTATATTCCCCTTCACTATTATTCATATTCCCCAAATGAGTGAGAACATACACTGTTTGTCCTTCTCCGACTGACTTACTTCACTCAGCATAATACCCTCCAGTTCCATCCACGTTGAAGCAAATGGTGGGTATTTGTTGTTTCTAATGGCTGAGTAATATTCCATTGTATACATAAACCACATCTTCTTTATCCATTCATCTTTCGATGGGCACCGAGGCTCCTTCCACAGTTTGGCTATTGTGGACATGGCTGCTAGAAACATCGGGGTGCAGGTGCCCCGGCGTTTCATTGCATCTGAATCTTCGGGGTAAATCCCTAACAGTGCAATTGCTGGGTCGTAGGGCAGGTCTATTTTTAATTCTTTGAGGAACCTCCACACAGTTTTCCAGAGTGGCTGCACCAGTTCACATTCCCACCAACAGTGTAAGAGGGTTCCCTTTTCTCCACATCCTCTCCAACATTTGTTGTTTCCTGCCTTATTAATTTTCCCCATTCTCACTGGTGTGAGGTGGTATCTCATTGTGGTTTTGATCTGTATTTCCCTGATGGCAAGTGATGCAGAGCATTTTCTCATGTGCATGTTGGCCATGTCTATGTCTTCCTCTGTGAGATTTCTCTTCATGTCTTTTGCCCATTTCATGATTGGATTGTTTGTTTCTTTGGTGTTAAGTTTAATAAGTTCTTTATAGATTTTGGAAACTAGCCCTTTATCTGATATGTTATTTGCAAATATCTTCTCCCATTCTGTAGGTTGTCTTTGAGTTTTGTTGACTGTATCCTTTGCTGTGCAAAAGCTTCTTATCTTGATGAAGTCCCAATAGTTCATTTTTGCTTTTGTTTCTTTTGTTTTCGTGGATGTATCTTGCAAGAAGTTACTGTGGCCAAGTTCAAAAAGGGTGTTGCCTGTGTTCTCCTCTAGGATTTTGATGGAGTCTTCTCTCACATTTAAATCTTTCATCCATTTTGAGTTTATCTTTGTGTATGGTGCAAGAGAGTGGTCTAGTTTCATTCTTCTGCATGTGGATGACCAATTTTCCCAGCACCATTTATTGAAGAGACTGTCTTTCTTCCAGTGGATCGTCTTTCCTCCTTTGTCGAATATTAGTTGACCATAAAGTTCAGGGTCCATTTCTGGATTCTCTATTCTGTTCCATTGGTCTATGTGTCTGTTTTTGTGCCAGTACCACACTGTCTTGATGACCACAGCTTTGTAGTACAACCTGAAATCTGGCATTGTGATGCCCCCAGCTATGGTTTTCTTTTTTAAAATTCCCCTGGCTATTCGGGGTCTTTTCTGATTCCACACAAATCTTAAAATAATTTGTTCTAAGTCTCTGAAAAAAGTCCATGGTATTTTGATAGGGATTGCATTGAACGTGTAAATTGCCCTGGGTAGCATTGACATTTTCACAATATTAATTCTGCCAATCCATGAGCATGGAATATTTTTCCATCTCTTTGTGTCTTCCTCAATTTCTTTCAGAAGTGTTCTATAGTTTTTAGGGTATAGATCCTTTACCTCTTTGGTTAGGTTTATTCCTAGGTATCTTATGCTTTTGGGTGCAATTGTAAATGGGATTGACTCCTTAATTTCTCTTTCTTCAGTCTCATTGTTAGTGTATAGGAATGCCATTGATTTCTGGGCATTGATTTTGTATCCTGCCATGCTACCAAATTGCTGTATGAGTTCTAGCAATCTTGGGGTGGAGGCTTTTGGGTTTTCTATGTAGAGTATCAATGTCATCGGCGAAGAGGGAGAGTTTGACTTCTTCTTTGCCAATTTGAATGCCTTTAATGTCTTTTTGTTGTCTGATTGCTGAGGCTAGGTCTTCCAGTTCTATGTTGAATAGCAGTGGTGAGGGTGGACATCCCTGTCTTGTTCCTGATCTTAGGGGAAAGGCTCCCAGTGCTTCCCCATTGAGAATGATATTTGCTGTGGGCTTTTCGTAGATGGCTTTTAAGATATCGAGGAAAGTTCCCTCTATCCCTACACTCTGAAGAGTTTTGATCAGGAATGGATGCTGTATTTTGTCAAATGCTTTCTCTGCATCTAATGAGAGGATCATATGGTTCTTGGTTTTTCTCTTGCTGATATGATGAATCACATTGATTGTTTTACAAGTGTTGAACCAGCCTTGCATCCCGGGGATAAATCCTACTTGGTCATGGTGAATAATTTTCTTAATGTGTTGTTGGATCCTATTGGCTAGTATCTTGTTGAGAATTTTTGCATCCATGTTCATCAGGGATATTGGTCTGTAATTCTCCTTTTTGGTGGGGTCTTTGTCTGGTTTTGGAATTAAGGTGATGCTGGCCTCATAGAATGAGTTTGGAAGTACTCCATCTCTTTCTATCTTTCCAAACAGCTTTAGTAGAATAGGTATGATTTCTTCTTTAAACGTTTGATAGAATTCCCCTGGGAAGCCATCTGGCCCTGGACTCTTGTGTCTTGGGAGGTTTTTGATGACTGCTTCAATTTCCTCCCTGGTTATTGGCCTGTTCAGGTTTTCTATTTCTTCCTGCTCCAGTTTTGGTAGTTTGTGGCTTTCCAGGAATGCGTCCATTTCTTCTAGATTGCCTAATTTATTGGCGTAGAGCTGTTCATAATATGTTTTTAAAATCGTTTGTATTTCCTTGGTGTTGGTAGTGATCTCTCCTTTCTCATTCATGATTTTATTAATTTGAGTCTTCTCTCTCTTCTTTTTAATAAGGTTGGCTAATGGTTTATCTATCTTATTAATTCTTTCAAAGAACCAACTCCTGGTTCTATTGATCTGTTCCACAGTTCTTCTGGTCTCAATTTCGTTGAGTTCTGCTCAAATTTTAATTAACTCTCTTCTTCTGCTGGGCGTCGGATCGATTTGCTGCTTCTTCTCTAGCTCCTTTATGTGTAAGGTTAGCTTTTGTATTTGAGTTCTTTCCAGTTTTTGAATGGATGCTTGTATTGCGATGTATTTCCCCCTCAGGACTGCTTTTGCTGCATCCCAAAGATTTTGAACAGTTGTATCTTCATTCTCATTAGTTTCCATGAATCTTTTTAATTCTTCCTTAATTTCCTGGTTGACCCTTTTATCTTTTAGCAGGATGGTACTTAACCTCCACGTGTTTGAGGTCCTTCCAAACTTCTTCTTGTGATTGAGTTCTAATTTCAAGGCGTTATGGTCTGAGAATATGCAGGGGACGATCCCAATCTTTTGGTATCGGTTCAGACCCGATTTGTGACCCAGTATGTGGTCTATTCTGGAAAAAGTTCCATGTGCACTTGAGAAGAATGTGTATTCAGTTGAGTTTGGATGTAAAGTTCTGTAGATATCTGTGAAATCTATCTGGTCCAGTGTATCATTTAAAGCTCTCGTTTCTTTGGAGATGTTGTGTTTAGAAGACCTATCAAGGGTAGAGAGAGCTAGATTGAAGTCACCAAGTATAAGTGTATTATTATCTAAGTATTTCTTTACTTTAGTTAATAATTCGTTTAAGTATTTGGCAGCTCCCACATTCGGGGCATATATATTGAGGATTGTTAAGTCCTCTTGTTGGATAGATCCTTTAAGTATGATATAGTGTCCCTCTTCGTCTCTCACTACTGTCTTCGGAGTGAATTTTAGTTTATCTGATATAAGGATGGCTACCCCTGCTTTCTTTTGAGAACCATTTGAATGGTAAATGGTTCTCCAACCTTTTATTTTCAGGTTGTAGGTGTCCTTCTGTCCAAAATGAGTCTCTTGTAGACAGCAAATAGATGGGTCCTGCTTTTTTATCCAGTCTGAAACCCTGTGCCTTTTGATGGGGTCATTAAGCCCATTCACGTTCAGAGTTACTATTGACAGATATGATTTTAGTGTCATCATGATATCTATTTAGTCCTTGTTTTTGTGGATTGTTCCACTGAACTTCTTCTTAAAGGGGGATTTTAAGAGTCCCCCTTAAAATTTCTTGCAGAGCTGGTTTGGAGGTCACATATTCTTTCAGTTCCTGCCTGTCTTGGAAGCTCTTTATCTCTCCTTCCATTTTGAATGAGAGCCTTGCTGGATAAAGTATTCTTGGTTGCATGTTCTTCTCATTTAGGACCCTGAATATATCCTGCCAGCCCTTTCTGGCCTGCCACGTCTCTGTGGAGAGGTCTGCTGTTACCCTAATATTCCTCCCCATGAAAGTCAGGGACTTCTTGTCTCTTGCTGCTTTAAGGATCTTCTCTTTATCTTTGGAATTTGCAAGCTTCACTATTAGA